TCTCTGTTTTAAAGTTAGTTTTAAATATATAATTATTACCTGAGTCTAGTCTTCTTTTTGAAAAATTAGAGCATTACAGAAAAGGCTGAAGTCGCCTTTGATCAATCCTCACTCCGCCCCCAGCGGTTATGACTTCAGGAGTTTGGTGGGTCTCCTCGCAGACGGCCTTTATTTATATTTTCACATTCTCTTGCATCACCATAACACCACTTTATATGATTTGTTTTATATAAATTGTGTCATTGTACACACCAACTGGAATTTGCTTTTTTCCACTCAGCAGGGTACTTTTTGAGACCTCCCCATGTTGATTCATATTTATCTAGTTCCTTCCTTTTTAGCTGCAGACTGGCACCCTCACACGGCCACGTCACACTCCATTTCCACTGCTGTCTTGGTGTGGCCTGAGCCTCGGGTTTGAGTCATGCTGACAGCGCTTCCTTGTTTGTTACAGGAAGGGGCAAACCCGTTCCATCTGCCACCTTATTTATTCAGTGAACCTTTACTGAGCCCCAGCTGTGTGCCAGGCACCTTGCAAGACCCTGGATTTGAGTCTGACCGCGGCCCCAACTCCAGCCCAGCCCTGTGGGAAGGGACCAGAGGAGGGGCTACAGATGGGCAGGGGGTAGGGTGGGAGGGCTGTGCAGCTGGGCCCACAGCAGCCAGGAGCCACAGGGCAGGGCCAGGAACGTGTACAGAGCCGCTGCTGCTTAAAGGTCCTTCATGATACTTTTGTTTTTTCTTGGGTTTTGGTAACATTCCTTTTGAAAATTCCTGTCTCAGCTCCGCAGAGGGACGAAGGGAATAGTATTTTTTGTCCTGTTGTTTTCAAGTCTCACTCAGAGGGAAGGGAAGTAGTGTGGGAACCGGACCCCACAGTGGCCCCAGGGAGGACGCACACAAGAGGGTTCCATCATTCCACTTGGTGCTTTGCCCTCGCCGTCTTTCCAGCTTGTCACACAGCCCTGGAAGTTGACAGCACCCCCCACCCTGACACACAAATTTTGGGTGTCTGTGGAGAGTCTCCCTAATGACTTAACAATCTAAGTTTCTTTGGTGGTGCCCCAGCATTTTCCCCTAGAGTTCAAATCTTTTTGTTCCCCTAGCTTCCTAAAATCAAGTGCAGCTTTGTCGCCCTGGAATGTTCTTTTGTCTTCTGCTCGGTTGTAATTGTTGCTTGCTTGTTGGGTGGCGTCAGGAATACAACTTAAAAAGTAATGATTTATGAGGAAGAAGCCTGGTAGGATAAAAACCAGTTTGGAAAACCCCGTTTATGCCAGGAGTCAAAGGATGCCGCGTGGGTCTATAGAGAGGTTTGCGTCTTGCTTGTCCAGCACCAGCTGTGGTGTTCTCCTCCCGCTCAGCCCACACGGCGCGCTGGAGAAGCGCCAACCTGGCCACCTTGTGCGGGAGCCCCGCCAACCCCAGCCTTCCTTCCCTCCCTCCTCCAGGACCTCTTCTCGGCCCTGATCAAGGGCCCCACTCGCACCCCATACGAGGATGGCCTCTACCTGTTTGACATCCAGCTCCCTAACATCTACCCGGCCGTGCCCCCCCACTTCTGCTACCTCTCCCAGTGCAGTGGCCGCCTGAACCCCAACCTGTATGACAATGGGAAGGTGTGCGTTAGCCTCCTGGGCACCTGGATTGGCAAGGTGAGGACCGTGCCGGCACCCAGCCAGGATGGGGAGAGCCTGTTGGGGGCGGGTGTCGGGACAGAGCTGAGGTGCCATGTGTGTGTTTCAGGGGACAGAGAGGTGGACGAGCAAATCCAGCCTTCTCCAGGTGCTCATCTCCATCCAAGGTACAGTGGGTGGGGCTGCTAGGGGGCACAGCGACTCTGGCCATTGTGCCCCCTCCCCTGCCCGTGGGTCTGGCGCCACCCTTGGGGGTCGTGGTTAGGCCAGCCCTGATAGCTGCCCCCGCAGGTTTGATCCTGGTGAATGAGCCGTACTACAACGAGGCCGGCTTTGACAGCGACCGGGGCCTGCAGGAGGGCTACGAGAACAGCCGCTGCTACAACGAGATGGCGCTCATCCGCGTGGTGCAGTCCATGGCCCAGCTGGTGCGGAGGCCGCCCGAGGTCTTCGAACAGGAGATCCGGCAGCACTTCAGCACCGGTGGCTGGCGGCTGGTGAGGCGCATCGAGTCCTGGCTAGAGACCCACGCCCTGCTGCAACGGGCCCCGGCGCTGCCCAACGGGGTCTCCAAGGACAGCAGCCCCGCAGGGCCGCCTACTGCGGCCGAGCTCTCAGACTGCGGCCAAGAAGACCCTGAGGACGGCGGGCCGGCCCCTGGAGAGGCCTCCCAGGGCTCGGACTCAGAGGGGGGCGCACAGGGCCCGGGCTCCGCCAGCAGACACCACACAGACCAGACTTCGGAGGCAGCACCCGACGCCTCGGTGCCGCCCAGTGTCAAACCAAAGAAGCGGAGGAAGAGCTACCGGAGCTTCCTGCCGGAGAGGAGCGGCTACCCCGACATCGGCTTTCCTCTCTTCCCGCTTTCTAAGGGTTTCATCAAGAGCATCCGGGGCGTCCTGATGCAGTTCCGGGCCGCTCTGACAGAGGCCGGCATGCCTGAGCCCACAGATGACAAGTAGCCACTAGCCCTCGAGGAAGGGGGATCTCGGTGGGAGAGGCCAGCTGCTGCCTGCTCAGCCCCGCCTCTAGAGCCTCCCTCAGCCCGTTTCTCCTCGGTCCCCCATGCAAGCCCCCCACCTTCCTCTTCTTCCCAAGGTGACTTTGGTACTGACGTGCAAGAAGTTTCTTGAGATGCTGCCATTTCTATTCTGAAGCAATCTTTCAACAGGCGGGTCCCCTGTGGCAAAGCGAATCTGAACCCTATTGCTGATTTTCCCCTTGTCGCCCCAGGCAGAATGTCCCGGCCCTTCCACCCCTTGCCATCTCCATCTCGGGTCGGAGATGACGGGGGCTCCTGGGGCCCGAGGGCTGTGCAGAGCCGCAGTGGGACGAGTGGACGTGCCTTGCATGAAGTGTGGGTCGCTCCAGCAGTCCTCCTGGTCCCTCCCATCCTCGTCAGTTTTATTGTAGCTGCCCCGTGTCCCAGGCCACCACCACTAGAGCCCCCCTCATCCCCCCGGCATCAACACTATCCCTTGGGAGTTATAGCCGCTGTCACCGGCTCCTGGCTCTATACTGGCCCATTACCACAGGATAGCCCTCAAGCCTGTTGAACCTGCTCTCTAAGAGAGGCTGGGACCAGGCTGGGCTCAGGGTGACATCCAGGAGGAGTGCTGGCCCTCACCCGCTGACATGAAGTGAGGACCAGGGAGCAGCTGGGAGAGAAGCAGCTGTAGGTGCCTTGCTCTTCCTGTCCTACATGACTGCGGGTCTGAAGTTCTGGCTTCAAGGGCTTGCCTGCTTGAACTGAAGCCAGTGTCTGCTCCCTGCTCAGTCCCACCCCAGGGCCCCAGGAGGCGGGAGCAGCAGCACATCCAAGGCCTGTGCAAGTGCTAAGGCCTCTGCCGTGGACTTGGCCCCTCCCATATGAAATGCTAACGCTGGGAGGAGGCCTGTAGCTCACAGAACACGCGGAGCCAGCCCTCTCTCCGTGAGAACAAGGCCTGCTGTCAGCCCTTAGCGTATAGACTGCAGGCTCCATCAGGAGAGAGGCAGCCACACGGGTTCTCCCTCGCAGAGACAGGCCCAGAAGTTTACAAGTTTTCTAAGCTTTTGATAATGTGAAGCTCGAGGTTCAGAGGATGCTGTTGCGCACATTGCAGCTATGTAATTTTGGGTGTATGTATGTAATATTTAAGGTTGAAAGAAAATAAATCTCAGAAGCAAAGATATTAACTCTTATTAGAAAAAATAAACAAACAAAAAAAGAAGCCAAAGCATGACGCGTCTTGTCCGCCTTAAGCTGGCTCCACACCTGTGCTGTGCCATATCCACCCAGCGGGCAGCAGCCGCGGGGAAGGACGGAGCCGGACCACGGGCCGCGGCCCCTGGAGCCCACAGTCGGTACCTTTGTTGATCAACATCCAGAGTGACGTGGGGCTGTGCTTCCCAGTGCGTTGTTCATGTGGAGATGTGAATGCCTACTGCTTAAGATATCTGTATAAAGTGCTGTGTGATTAAACTTTTTTTTTTTTACTTGCATTTTTTTTGTTTGGCTCATTACAATGTACAAAAAAGACAAGGTGGCACCATTAAATTTGCCTCTGCCATTCACCTGGGCTCTGTCGCCTTTCTTCCCCCCTGGGGCATCTCACACACCCCCTCCTCGGGGGAGAAAACACTCCTGTTGCCAGGGAAGGCTGTGGCCACAGCACCTCGCCCTGCGCCTCCATGCCTTCTGCATGTCCAGTCATGAGATTCTCAGGGGCTGAGTAATCAGGACCCAGTTCGGTGGGCAGGGCTCCTGCCCCTGGGCAGGGCTGTGTTCGTTCTTCAAGAGCCAGTTTTTAGCAACGTCGGCCACCTTCCAGATGCTGGGGGAGCTGACATTGAAGCACCTGGCCTGGGCCTTGAGCCAAAATGGTTGCCCAGTTTAGGAGATTGGCATCTGCCCCTCCCTGCTGCTTCCTTTTAACTCCTGCCCAACACTCCCTCGCAAGGATGAGGTGGGGTAGGGCAGAGGCCAGGGGAGGTTGGGGCAGCCCTGAAGTCCTCAATGGAGACATGACAGACTCCTTTTAAAAAGGAGACAGCTGCTTGCCATTTTTGCTCCTTGCCAGTTTCCCCAGTGCCCCTTTTCATGAGAAGAGCTGGCTGTGTGACCCTAGATAAGACGTACTAGCTCTGAGCCTGGCTTCCCATGAGCGGGTGAAGCAGTTGGTTGAGCTCCCTGGCTTCTTCCAGGCCAATGGGGGTGTAATCGTCACTGGGGCAGGGCACTCCCCCTCACAAAAGAAGCCTGGACCAAAATAACTGCCCAATTCAGAAGGCACTCTTGGGCACCATTAACCTTAAATTCTAGAGTCCGGATAGGAGCAAAACCGCACTCCCTCCCCAACCGCTAGAATAAGACCAGTAGGCTGGGAATGTCACTTTATTTGGATTTGATTCATGGGTTGGGGCTCCCAGAACAAAGGAGTGGCTTCCACAGGCAGTGGGGTCAGACCAGCTGGGGTCCTGGCCCAGGGCTTCATTTTCTGCCTTGGGTGGGCAGACGCTGTCCTTCCAAAGCACAGCCTCGACCCACCCTTCTCTAGTTCTCCCCACATGAGCTGTGAGGGGCCCTCCAGTCCTGCGGGAAGGAGTGAGGGCCCTGGACTCAGACTGAGTAGACAGACTAAGGCACAGCAAGGCCCACAGCGTGGTCACAAGGGCTCTTCTGGAGGTGGCGTCTGCTGAAGCTTCTGGCTGGGTGGGGGCTGTGGCTCCAGAGACGGTGGTGGCTCCCCGCGGCCACCGACCATCCAGAAATAGTTGGGGCGCACCTGACCCTGCACAGTTTCGCTGACCATCAGCTCCCCGTCCACAGCAAACATACCCTTCCCGTCTCTGGGCTCCAAGCGGAAGGCCACCACGGGCACATACACCAAGTAGGGACAGTTGCACTCCATGTGCCTGCCCTTTTCCATGGCCAGGAAGAGGCGCAGCAGCATGGCCCGAGACACGCCTGCGCGCACGTAAAACAGGTGCATAGCCCCGGCCTCACTGTGGCCCATGGGCGCAGCAAACATCTCGCTGCCCAGGTGTGAGTGCAGCAGCGCCAGCACCAGCACAAAGTCCTGCTCCGGCACCACAGTCCAGTGAGAAGGCACCGGCTCCTCCAGGGGCACGAGGTGGGCATCCACAGGGCCCTGCTGGTCCTGCCGGTCCAGGGCCCACGAGGTGGGCATCTTGGAGACCACCTGTCCGACGGGGAGGTAGGCCAGCCGGCCCTGGTAGGTGCGCAGGGACGCCAGGCGCAGGATGGTGCCCAGAGTGAAGCGCATCTCCCCCAGACGCCGGAACTTCTCACTCTCGATATCCACGTCAGCAATGAAGCCCCAGGCCAGGCTGAGCACGGAGAAAACCCGCAGTCCCGAGGCCATGTGCAGGGACAGCAGGTTCATGGGAACCAGCCGCCGGCCGCACAGCAACAGCGTGCAATTGGTCAGGAGGTCTTCATTCGTCACCTGCTCGTAGCTGCAGGAGAAAAAGCCCTCATGCACCCTCCCCTTCCTCCTCCTGGGAAGTGGGGGCAGGCAAGGCGACACTGGGTCCCTAGGGAGTTGGCAGGAACGAAAGACGAAAGACGGAGCAGGTGGAGGCAGCCAACTGGCATCACCAGGAGAGGGCCCCAGAACTACGGGTGGAAGCGCCAGAAAAGAAGGAATGCCAAGTTCCTTCTTTTGGAGGGAACTTCCAAATGGGAATTTATAAAAGAACCTGACAGTGGGGCGTCACTGAGGGGAAACTGAGGCCCACTCTGGCCCTGAGCTCTCACCCAGCATAATGGTTCAAAGAAGCTGCCAGTGCATTGCCAGAGCCAGCTGGAAGGCTACAGAGAGGCTTTCGGATGGCGGTCTCCCAATCAGGCCGCTCCATGAGCCCGTTCACCACCTGTTGGAGCACGGAGGCTCAGCCTGGGAACAGGCCACCCCGACCACCCACACCCGGCCTCCTGGTGCAGGCCTCACCTCATGCATTACCCCATCTCCAGACATGACTACCAGCGCATCCCAGCAGCCCAGCTCCTCCGTCTGCACCAGCTCCCGGGCATGGTTCCGCCGCTCTGTGGGGGAGATAGGGAATTATTGGGGTGGGGGCGAGGGGGGGCCTTTATGGAAGCTCCCTGCACCCTCTTGGAGAGGCACTCACCGGTGAGCATGAGCGTGAAGGAGACATCAGCCTGGACCAGGAGGGGCTGCACATAGCTTCGGAAGAGCTTCAGGGCCTTGCCCTTGCCTCCACGGGGGTTGAGCAGCACCAGTACACGGCAGGGCCGTGGGAGCAGGCTCTGGGGGCCACCCGCTGCATAAACAAACCCGAAAAGGCCATGTCCCCAACCGGCCACTAGGCGGCTGAGAGTCACAACATGGGTACTGGGGTGGAAACGTGGTGCCTGAAATGCCCGGGTAATTGATGCAACACAGACTGGCCAGAAGCAGCGGCCTCCAGCAGGGAGCAGGGCAACCCCGTCCTTGGCTTGGGCCTGACCAGCTTCAAACCTCATCCAGGACAGTGCTTCTCTCGAGCGTCCCCAGCCCAGTCTCTCTAGTCCAGCTGACTCTGGCCAGGGAGAAAAGGGATTCCCCGAGAGCCCCGCCCCGCAGGGCTGCCACGAACCTGGATCCGTAAGTTGGACACCGGAGGTCCCCACCGCTGTCGGGGCGCTCCCCTCGGCGGTGGCTCCTGCCTTCAGCTCCTTATCGGTGCTGCCCAGGCGGGCGTCGCGGTGCCGGCTGTGGGGCTCTCCCTCCCTGCCCGGATCCCGGGCTGTGGGGGCACCCGCGTCATTCCCTTCAGCTGCCAGATCTGAGGGAGTGGAGAGAGCGCTGGCGAAGTCCGGAGCAGCCCCCTGAGGTGAGGGGCGTCCAGCCATATCCTCGGGACGCGCGCGAGGATCAGCGCGCTCCGGCATCGCCGGAAGCCCCGCGGGCTGGGGACCTAGTTTTTCCAGAGAGGCGAGGCCCGGTGCCGCCGAGGGCGCTCCCGTCCTGGAACTGAATCCCCACCCCCAGAAGCGAAGGGTCTCTTCCTCGGATTCCGGCCCGACGGATGAGTCAGAACCCCGCGACTGCCTCCGTCGTGCCAGCCTTTCACCCCCCCCCGGGGGCTGCCCCCGGGAAGGCAAGGCTAGTTGCGTAAAAATCCCAAAACTTGAGCGGACGTAGCGGGGCACGAAGCTCAGGGCAAACGATCCCTACACCGAGCCAGCCCAGTCGCCGGTTCCCCTACTACCAACTCGAGAGCGGCCGGGACAACCACGCGCCGCCTCCAGTGGCCCGGCTCCGCCGGGACGCGCGCCGCGCTCGTGGGAGCAGCGCCAGGGGCGCGCGAGGGTTGAGCCCGAGTCCGGCCGCTGGCCGCCGCCTCCCTTAGCTGAGTGCCAAGTGGGCGCGGAGGCCACGGGGTGCGTGGCCCAGTTCCCCGGACTGCCCAGGAGCCACGAACCGCAAGAGGGCAGGGCGGGCGGCCGGCCCTACCCAGTCGGTCCGGTTTGCTTGTGGAGGCACCACCCCCGTTTCCTACAGTGGCCTATGGCGGAACGCAGCTAGTCCTGGGCTCAGTCCGGCGTCTAAGCGATAGCTGGAGCGCCGGACACACGCCGACTGCGCCGCTTCGCTACCTCAGGTCTTCAACTTTTCGCTCAACTTGGCCGCCCTTCGCCGCCGTGCGGGGAGGGCGCGGAGCCTCTGCTCCCGGCCTGGCCACGCCCCGCACTCCGCGCGCCCGCGGGGGTGGAACGGGCGCCAGGCGCGGCCCGGGTCCCCGGCCTCACCGCGCAACCTCAGGCACGGTCCTCGCCAGCGACTCGGCCACGCGCAGGCCTTTGACTGGGTCCCGGGGAGCGACCACGCACTCCCGCCCCTCGAAGAAGTAGGCGACCGGCGAGAAGGTGGCGCCGTAGCCCGGGCGGGGGAGAGGCGGAGGCAGCTGGCGAGGCGCGGAGCCCGGCGCGGCCACTAGCGACGCAGCGTCCCGGCGCGTGAAGACGAACGCGCAGGCAGGGCCGGCGCGAACACCCCGACACCCCAAGTCCGAGCGGCCCGGGACGAGGTGTCGGGCACGCGCAGCTTCGTGCTCTGGGCACATTCTAAGCGGCCCCTGGACTCTGTGACCTCCCGCACCGGGGTCTTCCCGAAGAACTGTCCGCGCTGCCGCTGCGGGCATGCAGCGCCCCCTTCATTCGCCCTCCTCCAGCCCATCCGGAATTCGACGCCCAGACCCCCGCCTCTGCCGGGGCGTCTCTCCTGCCACCCCTGTTCTCCACAAGAGGGTTATTTTTAGCTTCCTGACTCCGCAGCAATCGCCGAGCCCGAAGCAGCCAAGCGCATCTTCCCCAGGAGGGCGGGAGACCGGCCAGGGGCTGTGGTCCGGAGAGGGGGCCTTGTCAAGAACCTCAAAAGTTGGATCCATTCCCTAGAGGACACCATCGAGACCTCATGTGGGTCAGCGAAGCCGCCCATACAGCGGGCGATCACGTCCACGCCCCTCACCCACCTGACAGGGGGCCTGGCGGTGTAAACAGGCCTAGGGGTACCCATCGGGATTGGAGAGCCAAGGATGGGGGCGTGTCCCCCACCCCCACCCCCACCCCACTGGCTTTACCAGAAGATGCAAAAGTGCCTTGAGTTTTCACTTCAACGAGGAGGCAAACGGGGTCGCGTTTGTCAGTGTGTGTGATATACATATCACAGGCGAATGTGTCCGCGACCAACGCGAGCTAAATCCCTGGGGGGGTTGTGTGCGGAGACCCGGAGGAGGAAGTTGGCCAGGCCGGCTTGGTGACCTGACACCAGGTAGGGCCAAAGTTAGGAAAAAACCAAACCCCTGTAGGGGGCTAAGATGGTCCAGGCCCAGACTGCAGAGAGCTCACGCGCCCACACCTACCCCCACCCGACCGCCACACACCTCTCCGCATCGCCCCTTGAAGTCGAGAAGACGCAGGTCCGTGCGGCACCCGTGACTCGGGCACGTCTCTGCGGCTTGGTTTCCCGACACCTGGGGGGCGGGGCCCGAGGGTCCCAGGGTGGGGGGAGGCGCAGGCTGGGATGCGCGCGGGTCCCAGGGCTGGTGGCTCCGCGCGCGTCGCAGCGGTGCGCGCCTCCGCCCCGCGCGGCCCCGCGCGGCCCCGGGACAGCCGGGACTGGGTCCTGAGCGTCCCGTGCGCATTCCGGGAAGGTGACTCAGCGACGCGCTCACGGATGGATAAACTCCGCGAAATTAAGAACCAGGGGAGGGAGCTGGGGCGTCATCAACCTCTAGGCGCCCCGCGGCGCGCGTCCGCCCAGGTTTCGTGTAGAACTTCCGGGCCCCCCACCCCCACCCCCTAAGAATCGGCTCTGGGAGGGTAGGGCAGCTCTGCAGTGCCGCGGTCGAGTGACGCGGAGACGGGAGTAGCGTCGGGAGGAGAGGGCTCGGCGCCCCAGCCAGGGGCCAGGTCTCGCCATCCTCTCAAAGCCCTCTCCTCCAGTAGGGGTCAGAGTCTGGGCTTTTGCGCCTGGAGGACGCAGGACGCGGAGTGGTGCTCCCTGAGATCTCAGCCCTGGAAGGAGGTGGCTGTGAAGACGGCCAGGACATCCACCCCCTTCTCCCCCGCTCGGGAGGGCACTTCTATCAGGCCTGAAAAGCCACCGCCTTGAACGTTGGAATCTGATGGGAAACTGAGGCACAAGGAAGGGAAGACCTGGCTGTGCCTGAGTCCGCGGTGAGAAAGCCCGCCTGCCACAGGGTTCCGTGCTTCCTCCCTGCGCCATAGGCTGGAGCCCCTGGAATCGTGGGGTCGGGCGGGGGCGGGGTTAACTAGAAACCCAGTGGGCCTGGGGAGGCAGGGCCGCCTTCGAGATTCTTTATCCGCCCTGGAGGGCCCAGTGGGAGGGAGGCGAAGGGCAAAGCCCTCTGGCCCCGGTTCTAATACGCACAATGGCTCCTCTGTCCACCCTGCCTCCTCTCCCACTGCCCCCCCTCACCTCCGCTCTCAGCTCTGCCTTCCCCCACCCTCACCCCCCTCCCCGCATTCTTGTCATTTACCTTCCCCCACCCAGGCCGCTGCTCTCCAGCCCCTCTCTAAAGAACTCGGTCTCATCTCCGGAAACTCACTCATCAGCATCCCTGGCCCAAGAGGGAGGATTGGGCAAGAGCAAGATGCTTTTCCTCTTTTGACAATGGGGAGAACCGAAACTGAGAGGCGAAGGGTCTTGTCCAAGCTGCCAAACCAGTTCCCAGCAGAGCTGAGACGCGAACCCAGGAGGCCTGACCCCCCTGCATGGGAGGCTGAGCCTACCCCAGGCTTCTCAGTTATGTCTGAGTATCCGTTGGCCCTTGGCCCTTGCTTGTCACAGAGCTGCCCCCAGTAACCCAGCTGTGTAGTCTCCCCCAGAAAGAGGAAGCATCTTCAAAGCCCTCTCCAGGTCCTGACTAAGCAACTAGCCACTGTGCCCAGCAAGGCCCACCATGGGCCTGGCACCAGGTTTGAGCTGACCTGATTGCTAATCCATAGCTTGGCTTGCAGGTAATACTGGTCTCACAGGTGAAAGAGACTGCCTTTCCACCCCCCCAGCCAACCCCCATTCCTCCTTGTGGGCAGCCTCCCAAGGGAGGCACACCTGAGAACCCCCTTTTTTTTTTCTTCTTCAGATAAAGAAAGCAGGCATTCACCAGGCCTGGCCCCAGCTCTCTGGAAACTTGGGAGTCAAGGCTGCCAGATGGCAAATGACTGGCTTTTATTAGGAGAGGATTCCTATCTCTCCTTTCCCTGAAGCTACCTTCGCTGGGAGGTTTCGGTTCCCAAGTTGAATTGCAGGGCCTCAAGGCCTCCCCTAACCTCAAGTCCTTTCTGCCTGGGAAGCTGCAAGGGCAGGGAAACAGCGGTGTCCAACTCTGTAAACTCCCTTGAAGACTTGTGTTCTAGCCCAGATGTGGCTTTCCATTCTGAGAGGTCCCTAGATGCTGGTGACCGTGCCAGGCTGGGGGTGGTGGGGTATGCCACATGTGGGCATCCGGTAGAGCAGGCTGGTCATGCAGGATTCTTGGCTGCTTACAGAGTTTCAGCTCTGGGTGTGTGGTGGGGTGAGTTTAGCTCTACCCTTCGGGTGACCTCCTTGTCCTTATGGGTGTCCTTGCTGAGGCTGGGGACCCAGGTCTCTTGGGGGCCTGTAGGCTCTACCTACCACACTCCCTCACCTGCGGACTGGCAGCTCCTGGCTACCGCTCAGGATAATTAGCTTCCAGAGCCCCTTCAATGTGACGGCTCCACAGGCCACCACAGTCCACTCATTTCAGCTGCTTGCCCAGCGTCTGACGGCTATTGTTTCCTGGGTGGTTTAACTGGTATTTAGTGTCTCACAGATCAAGGTGTTGGCACGGTCGGTTCCTTCTGAGGCTGTGAGGAGAATCTGCTCCCTGCCTCTCCCTCAGCTCCTGGAGGTTGGCTGGCAAACCTTGACGTTCCTTGACATGTAGGAGCAGCACCCCGATCTCTGCCTTCGTCTTCACGTGGCCTTCTCCCTGTGAAAGATTTGGCTGAGATTTGTTCTTTAAAGGTCTGCATTATCTCCTGTGGGCATGATCTTTTTCAAATGCAAAGTGCTGTGGGAGGAAAAACCAATAAGTTATTAGGACTCTAGTGTAAATTAATGTCACATTTTAATAAAAAAATATAGCAATACTATATTTTGAAAGGTGTTTTGAAAGAGGGAACTAGCGCATGCATGCGGAGGGTGTCCGAGGAAAGGGGAGTCTGGCTGCTGGACCCACTCATCCCCCAGTGTGGTCGGGGCGCCATCTTTGGGAGGAGCTGTGTCTGTCTGTACTGGCCCAGGTGTGCACACTGCTCTGGCTCCCCCCACTTTGAGATCGTAACTCACACCTTGGCTTAGGGCATCTTTGGCTTCCTGAGCAGATAGGCTTGTTCCCCAGTCCTTGGAAGAACAAAATTGAGTTTTGTGTTGGTGCACCAGATTCCTACCGTTGCAGAAATGTATGATCTTACAGTTCTGAAGGTCAAGTTTAAAATGGATTGGCAGGGCCGTATTCCCTCTCCTCCTGTTGGAGCTTTCGGAGGCCACCTGCATTCCTTGGCTTAGAACCCTTTCCTTCACCTCCAAAGCCGGTAACTTGGCATCTTCAAGTCTCTGTCTGACGTTTGCTTCTGTTGTCACGTCTTGTCTGACTCTGACTTTCTGGCCCCCCTCTAAAGGGACCCTGTGATTACATCAGGCCCACCCAGATAACCCAGGATAATCTCCCCATCTCAAGAGCCTCAACTTAATGCAGCTGCAAAGTCTCTTTTGCCATACAAGGCAACGTAGTCAGTCACAGGCTCTGGGATTAGGACATGGACACCTTTGGGGGGGCCGTTATTCTGCCAATTACAGATGCATAGGGAGATAGGCTGGGAGTTGTCCTTTCTTGGCTACAGAACTTTCTAACATTCCCCACTTCCCCAGCACTACCAAGTGAACACGAATCAGGAACTTGCTGTCCCCTGAATAAGCATTTGTTGTGTGGAACCTGAAAACACTTTTGCTCAGATCGGCATATGATTCTAGGATTTCGTGGTCTTTGGCTCATCTCGCAGAGGCCCATACAAAGAAAACTGGTTTTCATTTTTTTAAATGATCCAAGAGGGAGAAATTGGCATCTTTGCTAAAGTAATTACTGGATTGCAAAGCCCCAACCTGTCACCTGAGGAAGGGGTGGGGGAGCAGACCAGCTCATCCATTTTAAGCCTGGCAGGATTTCCCACTCGCATTTGCAGGAAGGGCTTGTCACAGGGCACAGTCCCCTAGGGAGCCAGCTGAAGTGTGTGGCCCTCTTAGATCCTGTCACGTGACCTGGCAGTTCAGTCGCTTCTGCTCCTCTGTGGTGAGGCTGGCCCAGCCCAGCCACATGGAGCATGGTGGCTAGGAACATTCCACAGGCTCCCGCTGACATCGGCTCCAATATCGGCCCAAAGCAGCCTCTGGGCTGGTCTCCAAACCCAACCCCACATCCTTGATCCTCGTGAGGGGAGATACAGTCCATTTCTGAGGCTGCAGCCAGCGCCCTATGCCACTCAACTGTGCTTTGTTCTCACCTACTCATTTATAATGGTTTGGAATCCCGACAACTGGTAAAAAGTCCTCATTCAAGGGAAGAGAGGCCCCAGCCACGTGTCAAACCTCCTTGGGCAATTCCTAACAGGAAAATGGAATCAGAAAGAGGGACCTGGCACATCTGTGGCAGGGTAGCTGGGAAGCAGAGCTGCTTTTGTTTTCTAGCAGCCCAGCATCCAGGGCCGAGGGGATGGGTGTGTGCACAGGTTTCCGGGGGTTTTTGTTGTGCAATGTTTTCCACTTTCACATCTCTGTAAAGCTAAGATGTGTCCTTGGGTTGTTCCCAAAGCAAACAGCGGGCTGGACACAGCCGCCAGCCAGGCAGTGCATTTGCACTAATGGTCTGGTGTTGTTTGCTCCCACCAGGGTGGACGCCCCTCTGGGCCTGGGGGAGGTGAAGTCCTTCCTCACCCCAACCCCCACCCAAACACACTGTCTCTGGCAACTCTGCTACAGGACCCCTACCGGCCCCTGGTGGCCACCTGGGGATGCGTCCCTCTTGTCTTTTACCCAAACCACTCAGCCACGCAGGCTTCTAACATAGAAGCTAATTTGAGATGGAGTGGGGTGGGGGGATGGAAGAGGAGCATGACACCCTCCTGCGTCAAGCACCAAAAAGACACGAGCCTGGAGCGGGGCTTGCCTACCCCTCACGCTCATTATCCACATCCCGAAAATAGAGACCGCCTTTCCTGGAGGCTCACCTCTTCCTGAAGGTCAAACCCTTTGGTTCTTTCTAGACACAACTCTGGTAATTTAAGTAATGATTGTACAGGATGGGCTGGACAGCTGGAGCTAAAGAAGTGGTCTGGGGCAAGGGACACTGCAACCTAATTCCACACGCGTGGAGCCTTTTTTGGAGCAAAGGGAGTGATGCTCTTGATCCTAAAAGAGAGCCCTTTTTAAAAGCAGAGCTTCTTGTTCCCTTAGCTCGCTGCCCAGGGCGCTGACCACGGTGACATGGCTAGCTTCTTGAGAATGAGTGGAGATGTCATTTCTCCTTCAAGGCACCATCAGATGATCCTAGCAGCCTTCTCTGAAACTCGCTGTTTCAAAATGGAATGGGGAGCCGAGAGATTCCCTGTCAAAGCTTATGGACTAATTTGTTAGTGCAACTATTTTTAAAAAAACAAACAAACAAAGTAGAATGATCCTGGAGAGTGCCCCTGAGCAGTGAGGAGCTCTTAGGTGTTGGTTGGAGAACATTTTTTATCTCCTTCCTGCAGCTGCAGTTAGCACGCTTCTGCACACAAGAAGTCCTGGAGAAATGCTTGTGGGCTGACCTCCTGCATCTCTGGCAGATACAGCCCAGCAACCAGGGGAGGGAGCCACATCTGGGCACCAGGTGGCCGCTGTGGCAACGCACTGAACTCAGGAAGGACACAGTCCCACACTCCACCTCCTCCTGGCTCCGCACAGCAGGCTGATGGGTCCCTGGAGGGAAGGACAGATGGCTCCCGGTGCAGTGTTAAAATGGCACATCGGTCTTCCTGACCCGACATGGCCTGGAAAAATCCATAGCATCAGAACTTGGCATTTGCAAACAAGCACAAAGATCCCACCATTTTAGGCTGAGTCCCACTTGCGATGTGACAAGTATCTGTGACTACTTGGTTCTCAGATTGAGACCTTTGAGCACTTAAGGAGGGAAGACACTCAGTGGCTACAAGATATGATTAGGGTGGGGTCAGATCTGCCGCCTTCATCTCTTGGCAGGCATGTGCAATTCCTAAGGGCAAGAGGCATGTTGGCTCCTATTTTGCAGCCTTTAACTGAGTGGGAGCCCCAGCGGCTGGGGAGAGGCTAAGTGGCAGCCAGGAGCCACAGCAAACCCCAGGACACCAAGGCCTATGTGAGGTCTCAGGCACTTATGAAATGCTGAGGCCCTGAAGCCCGATTCTAATTTTAAACCAAGACCTGTATGTTGTGCGTACTCAACGGGTCAGCCATGAAAAACTGGTCCTAATGGATGTGGAAAACAAAGCTAGTGTCACCCACCAGCCCTTGAGAAAAACATCCTTTAAAAAAAACAAGAGACTCAACGTTCCTCAAAAAAGTCAAACATGGAGTTACGCTATGGCCCAGCAATTCTACTCCTAGGAATAGACCTGAGAGAACTGAAAACATACATCCATGCAAAAACTCGTACATGGATGTTCACACTAACCAAAAGGTGGAAACAACCCAGATGTCCATCAACGGATGAATGGATAAACAAAGTGCCCTAGAATAGTACTTGGCCATGAAAAGGGATGAAATGCTGATACATGCTATAGTGGGGATGAACCTCAAGTATGTTATGTGAAAGAAGCCAGATGCAAGGGCCACAGTATCGTATAATAGCATTGATGTGAACTTCCCAGAATAGGCAAATCCATAGAGACAGAAAGCAGCCTGGTGGGTGCCAGGGCCTGGGGGAGGGGGACATGTAAAGTGACATTTTTTTAAATTGGGTAACTGTGTTTTTTCCAGGACCCATCTCCAAGTCAAGTTGTCCTTCAATCTTAGTTGTGGAGGGCACAGCTCAGCTCCAAGTCCAGTCGCCATTTTCACTCTCGTTGCAGGGGGTGCGGCCCACCATCCCATGCGGGAGTCGAACCAGCAACCTTGTTCAGAGCACGCGCTCTAACCAACTGAGCCACCCAGCCATCCCTAGAGTGACTTCTTAATGGTATGGGTTTTATTTTGGGGTGATGACAGTGTTTTGGAGCTAGATAGAGGTGGTGGTCGCACATCACTTAATTTCCTAAACGCCACTGAATTGTTCACTTTATGTTATGTGCATTTCACCTCAATTTTTTGTTTTTTCAAAATAAGGGACTTAAAGGAATCAGCATTGTCCCTTTCAGGATCATCATTTTGTAATGCACAAAATGTCCATTTCTAAGGCTGCGGTTGAAATTCTTATTTGGGTGGTGGTAAAGAAATGTTCAAGACACTTGTTAAAGGAAGGTAAGGCAGACTTCATTCAGAACCATTGTGAGCGATGCAGTAGGAGTGGGGGGACAGAGATGGGGCTCAACTCCGAATATATGGTAAAGAGGGAATGTATGGCCAAGGAGTAGGGTGGGGGGGTCAGTGGATGGAAAATTACTACGAGGAAACAGCAGGGGTCAGGGGATTCTGGCTAAACTGACCTAGCAGGTCTTGCCGAAGGCAGGCCAGGGTGATCAGACATCACCTGGGGATGGTGAAGGATGAGGAACCTGAGCAGATGTTGAAGGAGATTAGACACGAGGATGGGGGATTCTGGCTTAACTGACTTAACAGGATTCTAGCTAGAACGGGTCTCTCTACAAGGAAGGATGCAGAAACCCAGGGTTTGAGGCCTAGTGGAAAAGGCAGCCCAGACGAGCCTGATTAGATCTAGGAGATCATCTTCGTCGTGGGAAAGTGTGGTGGTCCCACCTTCTTTTCCAGCCAGTTTCCCTCAGCTCTAAAGTGTTTGCAGTCCAGTATTTTAGCCTCAGGCAACTTCACGGGGCATCTCGCCTCCTTACAAGGCTGAGGGGTTGCAGGCAGTACTTTGGTGGCATTTGGGGGGCTCACCTTGTCTGAAGAGTAGTGTCACTTATGTAAGCCCTAGGTGCCAACCCTTGGTTGTCACTGATATTTTCTTTTCTGTATTTCCCCCCATAGTTATGCAATATGTGTGGGGTCTTAATTGAAGTACAAATACATACAGAAAAGCACACAGATCATAAACTATGAACTTATGAACCAACACACCTGTATAAAAAAAATAATGACACATCCTAGAAACCCCTGGTACTCCCCTTCCAGCCACTGCACCCCCACCCAAGGATAACCGCTCATGCAGTGTATTTTTGTATTTGGGAAAATATACTTGCCATTTTATCAAAGTAAAAGTACATTAGAGATGGATTTTTTTTTAATCTGGCCGTTTTTTATTTGTGAAGGCTCTACGCAATGGCTCGCACATAGTAAGTGCTAAGAGGATTCTAAGTGGGTTTGGCCTCGGGACATCCTAAAGGAAAGCAGTTGTCTCAGAGGAGGCAACAAGAAAGTGGCCCCGGGTGGCCTGACCCTTACAGGGTCATTTAGCACCATGACTCCCAAACCAGGAAGCACATGGGAAACCCCCGGGGACTTTCAACACTCCAGTTGCCTGGGCCTCATGCCCAGAGATGGTGATTTAACTGGTGTGGCACGTGGCTTCAGAAGTTTTTAACGATCCCTAGTGATTCTCATATGCGGGCAAATTTGGGAACCACTGACGTCGCATAAAAGGAGGATCTGAAACATTTTTTCCAAGCAGGTAGGCAAACTCCAAGGACTCTAAGCGATTTCTGGAAATGCCACAGAAGACTTCTCGGAGGGCATCCTGAATTGTCATGGTCCCAATGACTATTTCATGTCTGGAAATGAATCAGGCATAGTGAAGAAATGACGCATACTATTAACAATCCCTCCCACATCCTCCCAGACACCAGCGTGGGAATGTGGGAATGGGGACAAAGCCGGCCGCCACACAGGCTCCAGGAACGTGGAGCCCTTTCTCCAGTTACAGTCACACCCACTAGCTGGTGTCGAAGCAGACACTCTCAGGACTTCAGCTCAATTAACTCCTATTTCCCTGTTGAGTCGTAATACAATTTTGGAAATGTTTTTTCTTAATATCTAATTGGTATTTAATGACCAGGGGATTCTAATTTCCCTTGTGTGAAAGGAAGACAAAGTTACCTTCCCACTGTGAGGACTTAGAGACCGCACCCTGGTGGCTAACCTCCAATGAATAGCCTTGAATTTTCCTGCTCCCTCCACACCGTATTTTCCAATATTGGTCAGATTTCTAAGAACCTGACTGTGTTTCTATGGTGGTGGTTTCAGAATAGCGGTTTGAAATTCGTGGAGGAATGGAAGAGGCGTGACAGGAAGAGGAGAATAGAAAGGAGGAAGAAATGGGCAGGGAGGGAAGGGGAGGAATACTTTTACATCAAGGTTACCTGGCTTAGGAGTTGGTGTTACGTGTAAGCTGGAACTTGGGCTTGTAATACCCCGTGTTGGAGCCCTTCCTGGACAATCACTAGAAAGACAATTTTTCATCCAAGAAAAGAGCATATGTTTCTGAGAGCACTTGGCTCCCTAGGGAAGCATTCCAATTATCTGTTTCTGTGTAATAAATTACCCTAAAACTCAGTGGCTGGAAGCAATAATGTACTAGGCCCTTTGTGGGTTGACTTCTCTCAGCTGGGTGGTTTTCACTGGGGGTCTCGTGTGCTGGCAGTGTCAATGGGCTGAACCCCTGAGATGGGTCCCTCACATGGCGACAGTTGCGGCAAGCTGTCAGCTAGTTCAGCTGGGGCTGTCGGAGCACCTGTGTATGCCCTCTCCATGTGACATGCGCCATGGGTTCCAAGAGGGAATGTCCCGCGAGCAGTCATTCCAAGACACGCAGGCAAAGCTGCCGTGCTTCGCATGCCCTAGCCTCAGAAGCCCCACAACATCAGCTCTGCCACATTCCACCCCTTCAGCAAGTCAGCGAGGCCAGCCCAGCTTCCAGGGCGCCTCGTGAGCAAACGGCTGGGGGCGGGGGGAGAAGGAGTTACAGGTAGCCAGCCACCTTTGGAGACTCTCAGTGACTCAGGAAGTAAGAATTGGGGTAACTTTAGGGAACTGCTTCACCCTTAAGGAAACTGCTTTGTAGTTTAAAAATAGACTCCTTTGAGTATGTTTTGGCCACCTTCCTCTTAATACAAGTGGCCAACACTTATCAAGCTCTTATTTTGTGCCAGGCAAGATTATTTTGTGCACCAGGCAAGGCATATGCCCAGTGGCTTTTGTTAAGGAGACTTGTCTTGCTGAGGTGCGCATGAAGAAAAGGTTTTATTTTTCCAGTAACTACCGCCAGCTGTGCTCGGTCAAAATCCCCTTTCCGGTTGAGCATAAGGCTCCCCACTAAGGCACCACAGTCTGATTCCACTTTCCCAGTCATTTCTGGGTGGTGTTTAAGACTTGTTTGTTTAAAAAGTCAGACTCGTCTCAAGTTACCCCCATCTTTCCCCAGCGCAGGCCGGGATATCTCGCACACGCCTTTGTGCTTGCTCCTACGAGGTTGAGGAAGGGAAGAGAGAAATGGAAAACAGATGTGCTCCCTGCGGTGACTGGTTTGTGGTGGTGACGTGGCTGTCCCGTGCTCTCTGGGTCTTGACTGCTGATCTAGCTCCCTCTTCAGACCAGGGTTTCTCATTCTCAGCACTGCTGACATTTGGGGCTGGACCATTCTTGGTTGTGGGGTCCTGTCCTGTGCATTGTTCAGCAGCGTCCATGGGCTCTGCCCACTAGATGCCAGCAGCCGCCCCCACACACCCACACCAAGGTGTGCAACCAAAAATGTCTCCCGACATTGCCAGTGTCCCCGGGGGGCAAACTTTCCCTGGTTGAGAATGGGTGCTCTAGAGATTCGGTGTGGACAAGTGGGGCTCCACAGGCCTGCTGCCGAGAGACTCTCCCAAGGGACTCCCCTGGGTCATATATTCTTGCTGTCCCTTGGAGGTGGCCTCATGCCCTATTGCTCTGAGGAGTTCCTCCGGTCCCAAATCCTAGAAGCTGTAATTCCATCCATGCTCTGGGGCTGTGGGGATGGTATCCATCTTCTGAGGGGGTAGATGGATGGATGCTTCATCACACAGGCTTAGAGAGCATCAGTGCTGAATGGCATCTGCCAGGCAGCGCCCCCAGCTGGCAGTTCTCTGAATTTAGAATGGGGTGTGTGTTTTATTCTTGGCAGTGGGTAAAGTCCCACAGGACACCTTCCTCGACCTAATCATATACTTTTACACATCATCTCATTACTTCTCACAACCCCCAAGGGAGGAGTTACTGTGATCATCTTTTCACAGATGAAGAAATGCAGGTGCAGGTTGAGGGACCGCCCCAGGTGAACCGCAGAACCAGGACCGGGTCCAGGTCTGAGCTACCCACTCGTGGGCCAAGGGGCCCTGCCTCCTGCTCCCCCACCTCCCCACACCCATCCCCGTGTAGGCCCACTAGCTCGCCGTGCAGCCTCCAGACCACTTCTCTTCCTCCTGTGCCCTGCCTGCTCGGACCCGCTGCTCCCGGCCTCACCACTCTCAGCCCTGGTCCTGCTGCGTTCGCTCCTTGTCTGGGGCGTGTCTGGCCCCCGACTGCAATCTTGTTGGCTCTAAGTACTGCTGAGAACGTGCAGAAACTTGGGATCTGGGAGTTGCATCGCTGCCACGTCCTCTCGCTCACCTAGAATGATATTCACCCTCGTCTGACCCCAGCCGCCACTCTCGGGGCCCCGGTCTGACCACACCACGTCTTGATTGCTGAAGTCCATTATGCCAGCCTGTTCTGTTTTGTCCCTCCTGTGGCCACACTCTCATTCAGGCCTGCCTTTAACCCTCTAGCCTTGCACACCCCACCCTCCTCTTCCTCCCCACCCCCCTCCTTCCCTCCCCCTCCTCCCCTTCCCTTCCTCTTCCTGTCTGCTGTCTACTGGCCGGAGGCTGTGGGGAGGGACGGATGGGGTCTGTCTAGAGTGGGGACCATACGCTGCTGGGTGATGCTGCTGCAACTGCAAGTTTCTCCTCGGCGTCGGCTCCCTTCCAGCCTCTGCCAACAGGGGGCGCTAGGATCCTGCACCGCTGGAGGAAGAGAAAGGACCAGCTGCTTCCCGTCGCTCCCTGGTCTGAGCATCGCTGTGGTAATGGTGACATTTAGTTCTGGGTTCCAGTGTCCCTGCACTCCTAGAACCAGCCTCTTCGTGCCTCTCAGAGACACCGTCACCATCTGAGCAGTGCCGCCTCCTCAGAGATCTGAGTCCCAGCTCCATGGGACCCTGCCACCAGGCTGCTAGGATCCCATCACCCACCTCTCCTCTTGTTCTCCAGCCATTGGGTGGGTACTTGCTTCTGGCAGTTACTTTCTCTCTCTGCCCCCCAGTGGCTTCTTTCTGTCATTTCTGTCCTGTAATACCCGCTTGACCAAATCTCTATAGTAAGTTCTTGGTTAAAATAATGTATGTGGTTTGTTTTCCTGATTTCCTTGAACTAATAAATGTGTGAACATTTTCCATCTCCTGTCACCTACCAGCTTATTACATACCAGGCCCTGTTCTAACTGCTTGACATGTATTAACTCACTTAACCCTCACAAAACCCATCTAGGTAGTGATTATTATTTTACTCTCTGTACAGGGGAGAAAACTGAGGCAAAGGAAGACACACACCATGTGCTCAAGGTCACACAGCTGATAAGCGTTGACTCCTGAGATAATCCCCATGTCATGCACCCAACAGCCTCTGGGACTGTCCGTGAGACATTAAATGACCACATGATGTTCTAGTTTATGGATGGACCATAGCTGTTGTTGGACACTGGAATTGTTTGAGGGTTTTAGCTATGGTAGAGCCTGGCCCCCTTTGAACCTGACACATTCGGCACACTTGGGGCAGGAACGTTGTGACTTTCTGAATTATTTGGTCCATGATTTGTTATGAGCTGTCTCCTTAATGCTCCCCTTCCTTCAGCCCCTACTGCCCCTGGTCTTTTTACTCCCGCCACGTCTTTCTCTTTGATCCCAGCTTGTAAACGCTGCTACACTTTTGGTGCTAGGAGCAAGGAAACATCTCTTATCTGGTAGAAGCTGTAGAAGGCACTAGATCGTTTCTACTTGAACCCAAATCTTTCTTGATGTATGGGTATTGTGATACCCTGAAATGTCTCTGCCAAGAGTTACTGAAAACCCCAGGATAAGTGAGGTTCTGCCCCACGGAGGCCTTTACCATGCGATTCCATTTCGGATTTTCCAGCGGCCACCACAGCAGCTGCTCTCTACCACTGTCCTTGCTGGAGTTGGGGAGGGTCACTCCCAGCATGCTTGGCTCTGTCTGCCCAGTATTTTGCTCTCGCCCCAGCGTGGCTTCTGGTGTCCTATAGAGAGAAGTGGCTTAGAGATCCAAGTTGATATTATTTTTAGAAATAAAGACATTGAGTCTCAGCTTGCTGAGGCCTGTTCAGAGGAGGAAACCTGGGAAAGGCCTCAGATTTTTTTCCAAAGTTCAAGTTGGAGTAGTGTAACGTGGAGACAAAACTCGACATGTTGCCTGAAATGTTCTTCTTTGTTGTAAGGACTGACCTTGTCTTCCAAATAACTCAGACCTGGAGGACAGGGCCGAGCCACCCTGTATCCAGCCCTCTTTGCTTGTTCTGTCCTTTCTCGGACAATTCTTCACACCAGACAGGACTCTGTGCTACCCTTTGTCTTCTAGTTTTCAAAACAGTGAAGATCAGATTTCTACAATTCATGCTGAACCTGCAGCCTAATTACCAACAGGATCATTTTGTTTTTTAACTTGAAAACTGAAATTGGGTTGAATATGGAAAAATGTCACCTTGTGCTGGGCAGAGCTGTTTTTGTCCTCGTAGGAAATGTCCAGCTGGCCTGGAGTCTCAAGGATCATCCTGATCTTACAGAGAAACATAAAAAAAAAAACTGGAACTGGTCAAGTGAATTCTCCCTTCAAACTTCAGAGAGGACATTCTTTACAAAATGAGCCAAGACCTTTTTCTCCTTGCTTCAGACCCTGTATAAGTCAGGGTCCCCCAGGCAAACAGAAGCATCTTGATATAGATATATGGCAAATGTGGAAGAACTAAAAGGAGGGGAAAAAAAAAAACTCCACAAGCCTAGACAAGCAGATTAAAAATAATTACGATACTAGACAATTTGAATACAACTAACAAACCTGATCAAGCCAACATACACAGAACACCCCCCCAAAAGTGCAGAACAATCTTTTCAGGTACATAGAGGGCACTTACGTACATAGAACACATGCTGAGCTGCCAGGTGTGTCTCAGCACATTTCAGAGGACAGCATTCACCCAGAGTATGGGCTCTCACCCCGTGGAATTAAATTAGAAACAATAATAGACCACTAAACAGTTCCTAAAGTTTAGACATCAAGCAACGTATTTCTGAAAACTCATATGCACAAGAAAGAAGAAATGATAGTGGAGATAACAAGGATTCTCACTACAAAACAAAACATAATTTTCAGCAAATGATAAAAAGCCACACACACAGCGTGTGGCCTAAGACGAGAAAGCAGGAGTTGGGGGTGGAGGCTGAGGCAGGATCAGGCTAAGACCTGGGCTTGGAGGTTATGGAAAGCTCCAGAGGCTTTTAACCAGGAGACCTGGTGTGTGTATGTGAAGGGTGGGCTAGAGATGTTGGAGGGGAAGGAGGATGGAACAAGGAAGCATTGAGAGCAGTTGGGAGACCACTGCCCCAAATCAGAGATCGGTAGCTGTTAGCTATCATTACTCATGGAGCCCCAAATACATACTGAACACCTACTCTGTGCCAGGCTCCAGGGCGGGCACTAGGATACTTTCTCCCACAAATATTTTGGGAGTCACGCTGGTGTCACACTGATTATTATACATGGATAGTAAACAGGGGACAACTTTTAACAGTGAAATCCAAACGTTCCTTTTTGAGGAAAGCACCCCATTAAAACACAACATGGTTCTGTCGTGCTTGATCTCAGGCTGAGGTTAGACACCTAGCCTGAGGGCCCTTCCTGTGACATTATGTGCCCAAATGCCTGCTTCATCCCTCCACGCCTGAGCGGGTCTGGAACAGTGGCTGTTTCTGGGCACCTTCAGATAGGCCCCAAACCATTATCCCAAATTCATCGTTCACTGCCTTTCCTCTCTATCTTTTCAGTGGAGAAATAAGGGAAGTTTGTAGGAATTTAGGCACTGGGGCTTTTGAGTGTGAATACTTCCAATCCTAAATGTGATGTCTTGTCAGAGATGCCTAAAAATGTGACAGGCTGGCCACACACGATCTGTGTCCTAGTCCAGAGCTACAAGGACAAACAATCATAGAGTCAGTCACTGCCTTTTGGAACTAACAGTCTGGTGAGGAGATAAACAAATATCACCCAACAAATGGGGACCAGTTGAGGATAGGCTAAGCTGCTCTAAGAAAGCCCCCAGCATACCGTGCTTTAAATAAGGTAGAAGCCAATCCCCAGGTCAGCTTTGAGGTCACTGTGGATGGAGCCCATTAGGGAGGCCCTGGTGACCCTAGTAAGAGGCCTGCAGCGGGGTGTAGGAGGTGGGAGGGGTTCCAGAGGTAGAATAGACAAAACTTATTTGTTACCCCACTCTGGAACCCCCTTCATCTGCTCTCCTTTCTCTTTTTTTCACCGTCCATTGCAGATAGAATAATATTATAGCTCCCTGAATACGTTGACATCCTAGTCCCCAGAACCTGTGAATAGGTCACCTTACATGGTAAAAGGGACTTCACAGAGGTGATGATGTTAAGGTCCCTGAGATGATGCTGGGATTATCCAGTTGGGTCCAATGTAATCCTGAGGGTCTTTATAAGAGGGAGGAAGGAGTGTCAGAATGGGTAAAGATGTGACAGTGGAAGCCAAGATCAGAGAAAAAGAGATTTGAAGATGCTACGCGACTGGCTTTGAAGATGGAAGATGGGGACCATGAGCCAAGGAATGCAAGTAGCCTCTAGAAAGTGGAAAAGACAAGGAAATGGATCCCCCCTCAGAGCCTCCTGAAGGAACGCATCCTTGCTGACATCTTGGTTTTAGGATTTCTGAGCTCCAGAACTGTGGGCTCATAAATTTGTGGCGTTTTAAGTTAATATGTTTGTGGTAATTTGTTAAGAGCTGCAAAAGGAAATGAATAACTTCCTTACATACTGTGTAGTTTACTCATTGTGTTTATTTATCTTTTATCTCTTTTCCCCTGCTAGATTGTACCCTCCGGGGTAGGACTTTTTAATCTGTTATTATTATTGTTATTATTATTATTATTATTAAAGTATACCAAACACCTGGCAAACAGTAGGTGCTCAGTAAATGTTACTGTATAAGGAAAAGGATAGATGTAGAAAGCAAGGGGGAGAAGAGTGAAGGATGGCCCCTAGGACTTATTGACTGGGAACCTCATGGTTATGTTCACTGACGGAGGGGGTACGAGAGGAGGTTCAGTTGGGGGAAAACTGAGAAAATGAAGATGGGTTCAGTGTGGGGTATATTAAATCTTGAGGGGCTCTCTGTGTTAAGAGAAGTGGTTTCCTTTTGCTTCAGAAGGTAGCACGGCTTATGGCTGGGTCCATCAGCTGGACATGTGTGTAGCCGTTGAATAATTTGGCCTAGATGATCTACCCCATGTGGGGGTTGGTTGGTTGGTTGGTTTACCTGCTCTGGGAGAAGTTGGGGGTGGATGGGGCAGTAATTCTGGAGACCCAGAGAAATGTGGATCAGGCTGCAGCAGGCCCCAGGGCAGTTCAATTTCTAATGTTCCTCAGGTCCAATGTCACAACAGGTAAAGTCCCTGAAGGACTTTCTCAGAAGATGGTGAGGTCAACGTGAGGGGCAAGGACCTCACCTCCCCCCCCAATCCTGGGGCAGCTGATAACTGGTGACTCAAATGCCTCCCTGTCCTTTACTGTTTTCTTGTACCTTATTCAACAGGTATTGATTGTGTGTCTCTGGGACCCATAACACTGCCCCCCAGACACTGGGAATGATGAAGCACTAAGTAATACGTCATCTTGACCTAAGAGGGTTACACCATGTGTTGGGGAAACACATGTTCACAAAGGTAAATGAAAATACAAGCAACTATACATGGTACAGCCCAGGGGGCGGGGAGGGGCTTACTCTGGGTGAGGTGCTCTAGAAAAACTTCGCGGAGCAGATGCTTTGCGAGTGGGTCTTTGAGGGGCAGAACACGTGGAAAGGGAGAAAGGAAGGCTTTTATGATTAAAAGCAAAGACTGTCAGGACACGTGCGTCAGACCCGTTCAGGAAACCTTGCTTTACATGCAGAGGTTGGCGTCTGGGGAACCAAGATCAGGCTCAGGGATACCATCTTTGGGGAATTGCAGTACTGCAGGCAACCAGAGCAAAATAACCCCCGCCCTCCACTTTTCAAATCAATCCCAGCTGAACGCATGCGCCTTGCAGGGCTACCGCTGTATGATCATTGAGGCGCAGAGCTAGATCGTCGACCTCCTCTGAGGCCGACATTTTGGATCCTGGCAGGAAGTTGGGGGCTGGGACCATTAGCAAGTCAGGCTGCACTGCCCAGGAACGTGACAGCAAAAGAGCTCCTGTGGGAGTGATACAGCCAAGAGGCGGAGAGACTCCGTGACGTTTCCCTAAGAACAGGCCTGCAGAGTGCTGCCCGCCGCCCTGCCCTCATCGGAGATGGCGGCTCTGCGGACGCTCTAGCCGGTGCCTCTCGAATGCCTAGATCCCCGGAGGGGGCGGCGGCCTCGCCACTGGCTCTGAGGCGGCCGCGGCACCGGTCGCACGGGACGCAGGTTCCGCCAGAGCTCGTTGTGGCCTTCGGCACGAGGAGGGTGGGGGTCTCGGGCCGCCCCCCTCCTGCGCCGGGTTGCTCGGCGCCCTCCGCAGCCGGACCCCCGGGCCTCGCAGCCGCCTCAGTCGGAACCGTTCCCGCCGCAGCCCCTCGCGGGGCGGCTGTAACTGCGCCGCGGGCCGGACGATGCCCAAAAAGCTGCTGCTGCTGCCCCCGCTCTCCGTGTCCTCGGCTTTCCGCGCCCCGCGAGCCAGCCCCGCCGCACGCCCGGCCATGAACGCCGCCCGCACCGGCTACCGAGTCTTCTCGGCCAACTCCACGGCCGCCTGCACCGAGCTGGCCAAGCGCATCACCGAGTAAGGGTGGGGGACGCCCCGAGGGACCCCTCCCCGGAGGTCGCCCTTGTTCTTCTCCCCCTGCACGCCCCCCACCCGGCTGAGGGATCATTGGGCCCCGTCGCCCTGCACCGCGGGTGGAGGTCTCAGAATCCTGCCGTTTCGGGGCCGGACAAACCCTTGGAGGTGACAGAAGGCGTCCCACTCCCAGCCCCAGCCCCATTCGGCGGGCTCTTAATGACTTAACACCCCTGACCCCCGCCCCTTCTTTCGTCACCCCACTCGCGCGGCCCGGAGCAGTGGTGAGAATTCTGTAGCCCCCGGAGCGAGCGCCTTGGAGCGAGGGGCTGGCCCTGGGTCGGCTCCCCTTCCCCGGGTTGGAATTGACTTCAGAGCCTCCTCGGTGAGACGGAGGCCAGGGTGGAGCCATAGCGCGGAGGACCCGGCGGGGTGGGCGCGGTGGGACGGCGGCAGGTGGACGGCGCGGTGCAGCCGCAGAAGCCGAGGGGTGTGTGTGTGTGTGTGTGGGGGGGGGTTCGCGAGCACAAGGCAACCGCAGGGGCGCGGACTTGTCCGGGCTGGTGATCGAAATGATAGGCCTGACCGCATTTTGCAAGCCAACTTGAAGTTGGATCAGTCATTGGAAGTAAAAGGCTTTGCCTTCCTGTGTCTTTTTAACCCAAGGATGCCTGTGGTCTCAAGTGGCCTTGAGACAGCTCCGAGATGCCTTCCCAGCCTTGCCACTTACCAGCTCTGTAACACCGGGCAAGAACTTCATTTGTAAAAGAAGGGTGGTCCTGAATATTTTGAGCATGAACAAAATCGTGTACAGCAAGCAGAGCAGAGGCTCCTAGTGGCCCCCTGAGCGATACCTGCTGTCTAAATGGCCTCTTTTCTAGTTGACTCTTGTGGAGGACCCCAGAGCCCTAACGTAAAGGAAGAGCTTTACGAGCCTGCTAAGTAAATTTGTTACAAATATAAGACATAAAATTAATAGCCTGTCTTTTAACACTTAAAGTCACTTTCGCTTTTAAACAGTTTATGTTAAGAGTTCCTCTGTGAATTTTTCAGTGTTGATGAACAAAGGCCTACATCTATATTTTTAAGTTCTAGATAGAAATGTAGAAGGAAGTGGAAACTTTAGTCGTATTTACTCAGTCATACCTATTTTCAGTTGGAGTTATAAGTGAGATTAGAAGTGTAAAAAAAAAAATCCCTTTGCAATCTACTACTTAATTCCTGTTTCTAACCCCTGATTATTTGTCTTTCTTTTTGAGGCCAACTAAAATACTAATTTTAAGTATAAAGCTTGTGTTTGTTTATTTTGGGTCAGATTTTCCATACATTGACCTTGCTGAGAGAAAACAGAAAGAAGGAGGGCACATTTCAAATGCCAGTGGCTTTTGCTTTTTTTGTTTCTGTTCGGTTCTTCCCTGCCTTGTTCCAGAAAGGTTTTAAGTTACTGTGAATAATAAATAATTGTAATTACTTCTCTCTTTCATATGTTGAATTTCTCAGTATGATTTTATTTGAAAAAAGGATTTTACCACTAAGCAGAGTTTGAAGATTGTTTGATTAGATTGACCCCTGAGGTTATGATATTTTATTTCCATGATTCCTTTCAGAGCTAGACTTCAGGCAGGGATTCGCACTTTTTTGATGATGTACATTAATCAGTAAAAAAGTTAGATGCCTTACAGCCCCAGGATATGTGTAAGTTACATGTGTGTTACCATGAGCCCTGTATCCTTCATCCAGCGTCCACATTTTGCAGCTCTTTGTTAATCTTGTTTCATCTATTCCACCTATCCCTCGCTTTTTTTTTTTTTTTTTGACTGGAGTATTTTTTTAGTGGTAAAATAATACATAACAAAATTTACCATTTTACCCATTTCAAAGTGCACAATTCAGTGGCATTAAGTGTGCGTACATTCACATAGTTGTGTAACTGTCACCACTGTCTGTTTCCAGAACTTTTTCATCCGTCTCAAACAGAAACTCCGTCCCCATTAAACACTAATTTCCCATTCTCCCCACTCCCAGCCTCTGGTAACTTCTGTTCTACTTTCTGTGTCGAATTTGACTACTCTAGGTACTGCCTATCAGTGGAATCGTGTTGTATTTGTCTTTTTGTGTCTGACGTATTTTACTTAGAATACTTTCTCCAAGGTCCATCCATGTTGTAGCATGTACCAGAATTTCATTTCTTTTTAAGGCTGAATAATATTCCATTGTGTACCTGGCTGAAGTATTTTTAAACAGATTCCAGCCTTACATCATATCACTTCACTCATTAATTGGTAATGCTAACTGATAACAATTGAAAAACAACAACGAAAATACACCACCATTAATTCCTTAATATCACCGAGTATCTAGTCCTTGTTCATGTTTCCCTGATTGTCTCAAAAAGGGATTTTTATACTCAGTTTGTTCTAACTGGGATCCAAACAAGATTCACACTGCATTTGGTTAATGACGCTGAAGTCTATATATGCTTTTGACAATTGAGGCTTGAGTTTTTGGAATTATTGCTAGTAACCAAGTATTTGTTTAGAAATGCTTTTCCAAGACAATTATGATTCATAAAACAATAACTTGACATTAAACTTCGATTGCGGGCTCATTCCAGGAAAGCATTACATTACTGAATGGTGAACACTTGAAGCTACTTATGCAGGGACAGCGGATTTTTAGTTCATTATGAATTAAACTTTCTAAATAGTTATTTGGGAAAGAATGTCAGTCTAGTTATTTTAGTCTTTGTGTTAGACATGTATATGAACTGGAGTGGTTTTTTTTTAGAAAGAATACTCTTAATTGTCTTTTTGCCCCCCTACAGGCGTCTTGGTGCTGAATTGGGGAAGTCTGTGGTATATCAAGAGACCAATGGAGGTAAATTAAAATTATTGCTTAAACATCCTTTGTTCGCTAACCTGTTTAATTGGCTGGCGTGTTTTTAAAGGGCACATACTACACGTCTGTAACACAGAAGCATCTTTCTCTTTCACATTAGAGGTGTAAGTCATCATCCCGTACTTCTCTTTAAATCTTGACTTTTGTTCTCCTCCTTAAAGCCTCCTTTCCTCTTTTTCCAAGGTAATGCAACATCCTGTCATTTCAGAACGAGAAAAGGAGAGCTGTAGAGAATAAGTTTTTTCTTCTATATTGGGCTGTATTGGTAAATACTTTTCGCGTTTATCTAACACCTTAGGTCATCAAATGGCATCAAGTGCGATCTGATACTAGATAGTGATGACTTATTTTAAAAAAAAACACCTTCAGTTCTTTTCATCTCTAAATTTTTCTCTCAGATCTCTTGTGTACTGTCACCTGGGTTGGTGACCTGTTCTTGCTGCCCTCTGGGTTTCTGTGGGGAACTCTGACATTAAATGTCAGTGCTTGAAGGCACTTTGCAGATGGCGAGTGTCCGAGGAATGCTGCGTTATAAATCTTGTAGTGGGGCCAGATAGTTCAGGTTGCGGTGCCCTTACTCATTGCAAAAGCAAGTTAGTACCAATTCATTTGGAATTATTTTTTCGAAGTTGGAAGCCTGGCTTCATGATTCTGTGCTTCCTTTTATCTTCCTGAGGTAGAATTATCTATGGTATAAGTAGCTTGAGGAGATAAACTACTAAGACATAATGATGTTTGGGGATCTAAAAAAAGCAAAGTACTCAAAAAGGAATGATAGTTTAATGGAAAGCACACATTCCCAGGATGTATATAATTACATGTGTGTTATAATTAACCCCCAGATAGCCTTTGTCCAGCTTTCACACTTAGTAACTTCTCACTTGGTGACTAGAAACTTGACTGACTGCCCCTGTGCTTGGCACCCTCTGTCCCCACATCTTTGCTTGTTCCCATGCTCCCTTCCTCACTGCACATTCTAGCTTGCAGTGTGGCCGCTGTTCCCAGCCCCCTTGGTCTTTCTCCTTTATCAAGGCTGGTCTTTCTCTGGCACATTGCACTGAAGAGTTTGCCAGCCTTCAGCGCTGCTGCATTGTCTCCCTGGGTCAGCCTTTGTCCCCTTAGTCCAGGTCCTCCACTGTGTGACCAGCACAGGGCCTGGCACAGAGGAAGCCTCAACGTTTGTTGAAAGTTAACCTTTGGCCTTTTTATTTGCTATAGACTCCTCCCCTCTGCCCCCCCCCACCTGCCCCCTAAGTATCTTGCCTTTATTTTGGTGACAGACTTTCTTTTTTGGACCCTGAGATTTTATATAGATCTGTTTGTTACTTTTGCCTTCATGTCTGTTTTTGGCTTATTTTCCCCTTCACTTGACTTTTTAAAATCTATGTGCATGTCATTCTGAGATCTACTCAGAGTTATTGTGACGCATTAAGTGAAGTGTTCGTTTAGATTCACCTTTACTCCAAATGCTGCCTGATTATTGCATCATGAAGATCTTTCCTTAAAACTACACAACATTTTTATTTTTCAGAAACAAGAGTTGAAATAAAAGAATCTGTTCGTGGCCAAGATATTTTCATTATACAGACCATACCCAGGTAAGAGCACCACTTTATGACATAATTCATTATCTTTTCATATGAACAACAGTTCACTCTTCTTTAACTTATAAATGTTAAACTGTTTTCCTGAGTTCTGTGAGCCACTCTAGCAAATTAATAGAACCAGAGGAAGGGGTCACGGGAACGTCTGATTTATAGTGGGTAAGTTGCAGCCACAGGTGGTAGCCTGGACTTGGCAGTTGTCGTCTGAAGTGGGGGAAGGGTGCTGTCTAGCCTGTAGGATCTGAATTGTAGGACATCCAGCTGGTGTCGGAGACTCTAAGAATTACTTGATTTGGGAAAACCCTCCCACACATTTGGTAACCAGAATATACAGTGTTCTGAATATACAGAGATGGGAAAAAAACTGTTCTTTACAGCCTCCTTTGAGGGGATGGAGAAAACTGTGTCTGAAGGAGACAGGCCCACAAGGTCACAGAGTGAGTTGTTTGAACCCAAGTATAACAAAATTCCCCTGCAGTGATAACTGGTAGATACTAAGTATTTTCTTTTTAATACTTTTTTTCTGATTATAAAAACAATGTTAATCACTAAAAATACAGGCATTATAGAAATGTGTATCAAAAAATAAAACTCCCCCAGCCCTCATCCACTCCCCGAGTCCTTTCTGAGAAAACGACTTTAAATAGTTGTTTTTTCCTCTATTTTATATGTGTGTACAAATTTAGGCTCCATAATTCAAGTGATCCTCAAAACCAAAATACAAATAATTTTAACTTTATCTGCATGGCTTCTTTTAAAAAAGTATATAAATATATCCTTCTGCCCCCAGCCACCCCATCCCTCACCTTCCCACAGCAATTGTTATCCGTCTCCTAGGTATTCTTTCAGAGACTGCATATTCAAGCAATTGCTTATATATTTTTTAAATTTTTATGCAAAGGGAGTCTAATGTACTCTGTGCTGAAGTTTTAAAAAATAAAACAATATACTGTGTTAGCACATAAAGAGCTGCCTCATCTTTTAAAAATTCTCACTTTGAAACCATCATAGACTTACTGAAAACTTACAGGTAGGGTACAACCATCTGAGGGTAAGCTGTCAACCCAAGGTCTCACCACCCCCAAATACTTTAGTTAGTGATTCCTACAAATAAGGACTTTTTCAGACATAACCACAATACAGCCTTCAGAGCGGGAATGCTAACGCTTGCTTACTTTTGCCTGCCATCGAATCCTCGGGCTCTGTCCCAGTTTTGCCTGTTGTCCCAGTAATGCTCTTCAGAGCACGGGGAGCCAGCTCCAAGTCTCCAGTGGCACGTAGCTGTCACGCCTCTTCAGTCTCCTCCGGTCTGGAACAGCTCCTAAGTCTTTCCTTGACTTTCAAAACTTTGACACTTTAGCCTGTTTATTTTGTCGAATATTCCTCAATTTAGGTTTGTCAGATATTTGTTTATATTAACCTAAAAGTAAAAAGGCCGAAGTGAGAGGCAACAAGCATTTATTTGAGATCCAAAGAGTAGCTATTTGGGAAGCACTGATTCAGGCAGAAATCCACATGGTGTTCTGGTTAGGGGGTGAAGGCAGGGGTATTTTTGAGGAGGGAAGGGGAACAATTACATGAATAGAAGAAAGGAATTTCCTATTGGTGTTAATAAGCCAAGGAAGGAGTATCTTACCATGCAAATAAGCTGTTATTCTTTAGCTATATGTGGTGGTGCACATTCTAATGAATAATATCTTTAATTTTCAGTCTGGCAGTCAGAATGTCTGCTTTCTGTTAGCTTTGCAAACAGCTTTTTGGAATACAGTGTTGCTTTGGCCCAGTCCAAAGGTTATTTGCCCAGTTCCAACATTCCAAAGGTTTGGGGAATAAGACCTGCAAGGCAGTTGCCCTGGGATGGTGGCTCCAACTCCATTTTGAGGTGGCTCGGTTTATATCATTTTTCACAGTGATGATGGGATTCAGGTTGTGTATTTGGGGAAGGAATACCACAGGAGTGGAACTGTGTTCTCATCGTGTCTTTTTGCTGCTTCGTAATGTGTTATATGGATCTACCAAAATTTATTCAGCCAGGCGCTTAGCTGATTGTTTCTAGTCTTGTGGTAACTCAGTAGTGCTGCTGTGGAATAGCCTGTGTGTATGTCATGTTGCCCATGTTTTGGGTGTGTCTTAGGCAGACTCCCAGAATTGGAATTGCTGGGTGTAAAGATCCATGCATTTGTAGCATTGATAGATGTGACCGCACTGGCAAACGTTTGTAATACTTGTAGTATCGATAGCTACTTCTGTATTGCCTTCCATGGAGGACATACTAATTGACGTCTCCTCCAGCACTTCTGGTTTGGTATTGTTTGCTTCTCGATGGCGGGTCTTTCTGCCGAGCGTTTTGTTTGATACTGCATCTTTGAAATGAGGGAAGACCTGAGGGGCTTGCCGAGGAGTAAATGCATGTGGTAAGGGGGGCTTGGCACTGCCCACGGAGCTCCCTGGCCTTCTGGGCTTGACCTGGTTTTTATTGGTAGTAAGTAGTAAGGTTGCAGTGTCATTACTTCCTGCCCCTCCCCTCCCTCTTTCTGAATACTTGAGTTCTTTAGGGCACAGGAAACAGCCGCATGTGACCCTAGATCCTCGGCTTGGCCACCTTAGGCTGCCAAGCGCCCTTCACTAGTTTACTGAGGGGTGGAGAAGAGCAGAGCCTCGGGCAGCAGAGCTATGCATAGATGGGCAGCTTTGTCACTGATCCCCCAGGAGTCTAAGTCCAGAGGCAGTGTTGGTTAGTAAAGTCTCTTGCCTCCACCCTAATGAATTTATGATAGCAAATGTGTGTACGTAAAGAATTACTTATCTTTAAGTAATCTTAACATTACTTCACAGGTCTGCATTTTAACTTGTACTTTGAGCTCTGACTTTGAGCTCTTCTCTAGGAATGGTATTGCCTTGGTCGTGATCAGCTGTGTGCCAGCACACAACTCTATCCTTAATTTCCTTTATTCTTATAACACGCCTCCTTTCATGTCCCCATTAGAATGCAAGCTTCATGAAGGTAGAGAGTTTTCTTTATTTACTGCCGTGTCTCCCACACCCAAAACACTTTTGCTTAATGAATAAGTGGATTTTGACCTTCGATGTCACTAGTCCCTCAAATCCTTGTGGAGTGAATTAATGAATACTGTACAATTTTTGTACATTTCCATCTTCATAAAATAATTGGGATCCCCTCTTCTGTTCTGAGACCTCAGTGAGTCCGTAATACTTGATGTTACTTCCTCTCCCACTGGATCTCATCTGAAATTGAAAAGACCTTGGGGTTTGTGTCTATACTTTGAAATTCCTGGTTTTAGTTCAGACTTCCCTTAACATGTCATACACAGTAGATGTTCACAGTCTGAGGACTTGGCCAAAGAACATTCACAGTTAACAGCACTGCCCTCTCGTGATCTCAGAACAATGCGCCATTAGTCTCCCTTGCTTACTAAGAGGTTGTGCTTTATAGAATTCTTGGCTTCGCTCTCTCATGGTAACGAATGCTCAAGGTAAATATTTAACATGCATGGTCTAGAGTGGCACTGGGGGCTGTGATACAGACTGAACTTCATTAATAAAGGGCTTTCAATTTGCAGGTGTTTTCCAGGGCAAGGACAAAATAAGCATGGAAAGACGAGTTGGTTAATGGCTGGTCGGAAAACGTGCATTTTTTTATTCACTTGGACCTAGGGTTTTAGAAAATTTGACCAAAGGAAGAGGTAGGGAGCAGTCCATGGAGTTGCTGTGGAGAGAGAGTGAATCTTGTGGCATAACCATGACAATAATTTTACTGAAGATGGTGCAATTTCCTTAGTGTCCTTGTTTTGAGATTGTTTAGGAGCCACAGTTGTCTTCCTGGTAGTTCAGTTTGGTACTGTGTGTGTTATATGCTGGGGAGTTGGCTCCAACTCCTGGGGACCATTGCATGAGTGATGCCCACAGTGTCCCATCCTCAACAGCCCTGCTCAGCTCCTGTGGCCTCACGCCTGTGGCTTCTTTTATGGATCAGTCCATCTCATATTCAGTCTTCCTGTTTTCCTGCTGCCTTCTATTTTCCCAGCATTATTGTCTTTTCCAGAGAACCCAGTCTTCTCATGATGTGTCTGAAGCAGGACAACTTCAGTTTTGTCATTTTACCTCCAGTGATGTTTCAGGCTTCCTTTGCTCTAGGACCCACTTGTTCATCTGTCTGGTGGTCTCTCTTCCAACACCATATTTCCAATGAATCATTTTTTTCCTGCCAGCCTTCTTCACTGTCCACCTTTCACATTCGTATGTAGTGAGGGTGTGGGTGACCTTAGCCTTGGTCTCTAATGACACATCTTTGCTCTTGGTGATCTTCCCTAATTCTCCCATGGCTGCCCTCCCGAGTTTCCCCCTTCTCTTGATTTCTTGGCTGCAGTCTCCATTTGACTTGATGACAGAACCAAGGTTAGCAAAATCTTTAACAATTTCAATGTCAGTTGGTAGTTCAGTTTGTAGGAATCAAAGCAAAAATATTCTCACTTGGTAGTTCCTGTATCTCTTAGGATGATGGGGATAGGAGAGGAAAAATGTGGAGAAAGGACGTGTGTGTGTGTGTGTGTGTCCGTCCCCATGTATCCCGTATAAAAGGTTACTGGGGGTTGGCCGAGTGGTGCGTTGGTTAGGAGTTGGCTTGGGACGCCAGCTCTGAGCAGCAGGACCTGGGTTTGGATCCCACATGAGGGCCAGTGATGCTGCGCCCTCTACAGCTAAGATGGTGAACAACAGCTCGACCTGGAGCTGGGCTGCTGTGCATTGCCGGCAACGGCGTAGGCTGCAGCCCCTGCTACAGTGGGCTGCCATAAGCTACTGGGTGTGGCCAACAGCCAGTGTTAGCGGTTGGCAGCCGGCGTGAGCTGCCAAGAGCTGCTGTGAGCAGCTGTCCAACGGCTGGCCACTGAACTGCCTCACCTGGGAAGAGCGCAATGATAATACCCACATGGGCCAGTGAAGCGACATCCTCCACAGCTAGACTGAAGAACAAAAGGACAGCAACTTGTCTGTTCCCCTTCCCCAATTCCTCAATAAAAATCTTTAAATAAAATTAAAAAAAAAAGTTACTGGGTTTGCTACAGTGGGTTACTTTTATTGCTTGACTGCAGAAGACTTTAGTGCCAACTAAAGAACAAGAAGAATTTGGGTTTTTAGCATTATCTGCTATACATAGTTATATAGATGAAGGAATAGATCGTACAGAATTTCCTACAGTGTGGGGGGATGCTATCTAAGGTAATAAGCCTGATTATAGACAAGCAGACTGCAAATTAGACATTCAGGTGAGCTCATTGCCTTCAGAGCGGACATCCTGAGATATAGTATAGTCACGCGCCACTTCACAACAGGACACGTTCTGAAAAACACATCATTAGGTGATTCTGTTGTCATGCAAACGTCGTGGAGGGCACTTCCACAAACTCGGATGGTATAGCCTACTGCTGAAATTGTATGTGCTATACTTTTACACAATTGGCAGCGCAGTAGGTTTCTTTACACCAGCGTCACAAACATGTTAGGATGGATACGAAGTCACCAGGTGACAGGAATCCTTTGGCTCCATTATAATCTTATGGGAAACGTTGTTATGTGGCCCATGACCAAATACCTTTTTCTGGTGCTATTGTTGCTCAGAATAGCTTTGGAACTCATCTTCTGGAAGCACTTTCAGAACTTGCAGCACATTTCTTTTTTCTTTTTTCTTTTTTTTTAAGATTTCATTGGGGAATCAGAAGGAGAACAGACAAGTTGCTGTTCTTTTGTTCTTCAGTCTAGTTGTAGAGGACTTCGCTTCACTGGCCCATGTTGGCATTATCATTGCGCTCTTTGTGGGTGAGGCAGTCGCTCACCGGCCATTGGACAGCTGCTCACGGCAGCTCACGAAAGCTCATGAAAGCTCATGCCCGCTGCCGGCCAGTCCCACTGCAGCCTACGCTGTCACCTGCGACTTGTGGCAGCCCAGCTCCAGGTGGAGCTGTTGTTCACCATCTTAGCTGTAGAGGGCGCAGTGTCACTGGCCCATGTGGGATCCAAACCATATGGACCCTGCTGCTGCTCCATGTCCTGCTGCTCAGAGCTGGCATCCCAAGCCAACTCCTAACCAACACACCACTCGGCCGGCCCCAGCACATTTCTTTTGACTACTCTAGTAACAGTAAATTTTTGGTTGTTGAGGATGGATTTAATTTTGGGGAATAGCAAAAAGCCATTCCAAATGAAGCAGTTATGCTGAGTAATTAAAATGTGTGTCTGTTTCTGCACCCAGTTCTGAGATGTGTGTGTGGGTAGCTTCTTACCATACCACAGAGCAGTTCTCCAACACCATTCAACTCAGTTTTGACACCACCTACCTGGAGACAGCCTCAGATGCCACAGGTTTAGGCTCAGCCCTACAAGACTACCCCTCCTCCACTTGATGCCAATGGCTAGTCCAGGTTGTCACCTTGCTTCTGACCTACCGACTGATCGGAGGTTCCAATCATCCCCTATTTGGGTTCAGTTAATCTGTTAGAATGGCTCACTGAACTCAGAAACACCTTACTCACTAGCTTACCAGTTTATTATAAAAAGATGTAACTCAGGAACAGCCAGATGGAAGAGGTGCGGAGGGCGAGGTCTGTGGGAAGGGGCGTGGAGCTTCCATGCCCTCTGAGGGCACCACTCACTCCACGTTTCCATGTGTTCACCAAGCCTGGAGCTCTCTAACTCCCTCCTTTAGGGGTTTTGTGGAGGCCTCATTACACAGGCGTGGTTAATATATCATTGGCCGTTGCTCAGGCCGGGCATCAAACCGCTGTTGCTCAGAGCTCGCACTCTTGGCCCTGTTGGCAATTACTGATTCAACCTCCAGCCTTCTCCTCTCCCCAGAGGCCAGGTGGGTGGAGCTGAAAGTTCCAACCCTCCAATCACATGTTTTGTCTCCCTGGCAACCAGCCCCATCCTAGGTGCAGTCCAAAAGTCACCTCATTAACGTAAAAAACCTTTATTGCTCTCATTATGTAGGAAATTCCAGGGGTTTTAGGTACTCTGTGCCAGAAATAGGAAAGAAGACCACATGTATATTAATTATAAGTCGCAGTATCACCGTGTGGTACTCAAGGAGCTTTTAAATACTGAGCGATGGAACTAAGTAAAATAGAAATGAAGCTTACAAACTATTTGTTGAAGGACAATTTTCATGTTTGTGTTACAAGTTCTATTATATTGGGTTTTCGGAAAAGTCATGACGCATTTTTGCAACGAAAAACATAGAAAAAATACATCGTGACTTTTCCGACAACCCAATAGTATGTTCGTGTTCTGTAAGAAGACTCAATGAAAGCACATTTACAACTTATTTGCTGCAGATGATTGATTGTTGGCTGTGGGGGTGGGGTAAAACCCCATAACCATGTTCTTGTTACCATCTATGGTGCTGGTCTGGTTGCAATCCTAGGCAGTCTCACTGACATATATGGGACATGTCTGTTTCCCCACCTCACATTCCTTTTCGCCTGTTGAAAAGGAGAGAGCAACAAGGGCCAAGTTTCATGTAGGCTGTGATTATCTTAGGGAAAAGAAAAATGGCTGGTAAACATTTAAGAGTGTCCTATTTAGATACAAAGCCCACAAGAACTAGCCAGGACGTACTTGGAACAATCTTAGGGAACAGATAAAGCAGAGGCTGCCAGCCAGCTTTTCTTCACCCAGAGGCCCACAGAGGAGCTGCCTGCTGTCCAGTTTGTCCAGCGTCCCTCAGCGAGTGGGGAAAGCCAGGGCGATAAAGGCCCTTTTGTGGCCTTCCTTACCAGTGAAGGGTGGGATGTGGGAGGCTTTCCTGAGCCTCGGGCTGGAGGGTGTTGAACCTCTTGGTATAAGTCTTAGGAAGAGCAGAAAATGGAAAATAATAACCTCAAGGGTGAAATTAGTAATTAATGGAAGAAAAGTTGCTCTGAAATCAAGGCTTCTCCAGAATTGCTCTTGTTGCATTAACATCTTAGTACCTGGGCCACCCTCATGGTGTGCTATCCAAACCTCATTGCACCATATGGTTGTGTATTATAAATGCTATCCCAATGCCAGCTAAAAACCCACTACCCGGACAGAGAGTCTTCCAGAATCTATTCCATTAACTTCAACTCTGAACATATTGTCAGCATTGGGAGGGACCTGCTGTAAGAAGCTGTCCAGTGGAGCTTAGCACACAAGTGGAAGGTTAAGAAAACTCTAGTTTTATTTCTAACGTTGACAAGCAGTCTGTTTATGGAAGAGGATTTTTGCTATAGTATATATGATGCCTGGTGGTTACGATGGACTCCTGAGTTATTTACATACTGCCTTCCAAGTACTACGCCAGCTTCCAGCTTAACTTTCAGAGCCCACAGGCATCAATTTAGGTGATCTGATATGGGAAGGGAATAGAGTGTAAAGTGTTTGGGAAGGGGAACACTCCTGCACGAGTTAGTCGTCGCCTTCCTGGGACAAATGCTTAGCACAGAGTGATCCAGTGTGGGTCTCTGGCATTCCCCTAAGACGTGGTCAGCTTGTTTACCGTTGTATCTCCCCCACCTAATACAGTGCCTGACTCAACTTGTTCAGTACATATTTGTTCAGCAGATGAACTAAAATTGACAAAGTAGTGTGAATTCCTAAGTACCTTGAAAGTATGGGATAAGTGTTCTGTCCTAATAATACCAAAAGATTGTATGTCCTCTGACCTTTTGCTGCCTGACTTGGGACATTATTACATTGGGAATATTGTGGATGAAAAAGGGGTGCTGTAATAAGTCAGGTCATGGTGGGGAGTCACACCCCAGGCCTGTAGCTTCTTTGGTGAGAGGTGTTAAGCCAGTCCTGTCCATTGTTCTTGGGCATCCAGGTTAACCTTTGGAATACCAGGAGTAATACCCCTCGAAGGGGGCATCAACCCTCAAGAGAGCTCATAATCCTGACTGTCCTGTAATCCATCCCCCGCCTGGCTTCCTCCCACCTCCGTGTCATCTTCCTTATGTCCCCTCCTTAATTGCAAATGCATAAAAGAAATTGCAAAACTTATTCTCTGAAGCATTCGAGATCTTGCTTCCCAGAAATTGTTGTTAGTTTTGGCTCAGATAAGCTCTTATAAAAATTCTCTATGGGCCTGGACGTTTCTTACATCGACAGTAGGAGAGAAAAAATGCTCCAATTGATTTCAGAGGAAGGAAGTGATAACTGGAAAATCTGTGTATGTCAAGGAAAGAAGAGATGGGGGAGATTTTTGAATATTAATTTCCCAGACCTTGACTTGCCACTCTCCACCCCCAAAAGGAAAAAGGATACCGGATCCTTTCTGGTGATGACAGCTCAGTAGAAGGGCGGGTGGATTTCCCTTGGCATCCATAGGAAAACCAGGTACTAGCACGCTGGCCCAAGTCTGAAGCCCTGGGATGGTCCCCACAGGTGCTGGTTACCAGCAGTGGCTGTCTGCTTCGCGTGCCACTCCAGTGACTGTGTCATAGACAAGATCCAGGCAGAGGTGAGATTGGATAACTGAGCTGTGGGATTTAAGTAACCACGGAGGAAAGCCAGAGTTTACGCTGCTAAAAAGAAGAGTTAATACGCTTTCCCCCGTATGTGAGGTGCCATTACGTGCTAGTATGGAAGTAAAATGTCTCTGACACTCATAATGGCAGCTCATGTTAAAGTTGAGATCTTTTCTAGGGGCTTGTAAATGAAGTTAATCCAAAAATACGCACTTGCACTGTTGCAGAGATGTGAACACAGCTGTGATGGAGTTGCTGATCATGGCTTACGCACTGAAAACTGCCTGTGCCAGGAATATCATCGGAGTCATCCCGTATTTCCCCTACAGCAAGCAGAGCAAGATGAGGAAGAGGGGCTCCATCGTGTGCAAGCTCCTGGCGTCTATGCTGGCGAAAGCTGGTGAGTGCAGCAGGGACTCTGGGATCGCGCTGTCGTGTAGTCCCTGCTCGGTAGTAGCCCATCTTTAATCTAGTTTGGGACCTGTTTCCTCTAAGCGCTGTTCACTAATTACTTTTTCTTATTTCCTGTTGGGTAGTGCTGGTTAGGGATATGTGAGCTTAGGTATAAATTCTTACCTTTTTCTCTTTTTCTTATTTTAGAGTGACATTATCTGCTTCAGTGTTTTCTGCTCTTCTCTAATCTTGGCCTTTTCATCATTCTGTTTACTTCCTTTACATTTCACCTGATCATCATTAAATTTTAACTGGCGTTCTTGGCATTTGTATGTGATCTTTTGAGTTTCAGGCCTAGATTTTTGTATTCGCCTTAGTTAGCTAAATTCTATTTATGTAATATTGAAACTGGATTTTTTTTTTTTTTTACTGTTTCTTTAGCTTATCTACTCGTTTTTCCCCCCTCCATGATTGTCTTTCTGTATAGCAGCTCATTTTCGTTTACTTTTATTCTGTGTGTTTTTGTAGCAGTGGCATACTTTGTGGCCCGTGAATCAAATGTAATAACACTTTACACTCATTGGAATTTTATTTGCCTGATGTTTATTTAAGAACTCTAATATATATTTGAGTTTTCAGAAACATATTTGAATTCCATTCTCTCTGAAAATGTGTAATGTTTTTGGAAAGAACAAGTAATACTGGTTCTTTGGTTTGAACTTTAGATGTGACCTTTGGCCATTTGCAGTGTATTGATATATGTACCCCTTTTTTTGTTTGTTTAACGCTATTGATTATCAGAGTCTGTCTTCATGGTTTTTCTATAAGAGTATTTCTTGACCTATTCTTTTATGATCCATAGAAATTGTTCCAAACTCTTCAGTGTCTTATCTTTGTGTTACGTGAGATCTTCTAATATGTATATGACTTGGCTTTTGCTTTCTTACTGCTTCTGCCTTGGCCACAGTCCTTTAACATTTCTTCCTAGATTCTTTAATCAAGGCCTTACCTTACTATTTTTTCTATCTGTTTTTGCTTCAGTATTTATTAATTCCATCTTCATATTTTTCTTCTGCCTGAATTTTCTTTTCTTGATTTTGAGGACCAAGCTAATAATCGTAGCGGCGAGTGCTTTTTTCTCAGCTTCAGTTCTTTGTCCATGTGGAAGGTGATGGGCTCCTTTCTGTTGGTCTTGACACATTCTTTAATCATTAAGTTTGTTAAGGTTACAATAAAGCCTATAGTGTATGTGCTTGTTAACAATACCCCCTCCCTTCAGTCTTCTGTTGGGAAACAGGAAGTGGGCTTCTAGTTTGTGTCCACTGTAGCCATTTCCTTGTAGGGGTGAACTTTGTAATTTTTTGTTTTAAAATTTCAGGTTTAACTCACATTATCACTATGGATCTTCATCAAAAGGAAATACAAGGCTTTTTCAGCTTTCCCGTGGACAACCTTAGAGCCTCACCTTTCCTGCTTCAGTATATCCAGGAAGAAGTGAGGAGCCACCAGCAAACACCCCATTGTCCTCAAAAGAGACCCCGTGTAGTTTTTCTCTGGTATCAGATTTCAACATTGAAAGGCCCATCAAATGATTCTTTCCCTTGAGTCTTAATGCCCAAGGCAGCCAGATAGGGTCAGCATTTAGACCTGGAGGATCATATATTTCAAAGACATTAAAAATGGTATCGAAGAATCTTTAGCAATTGCTTACGTTTTCTAAAATGAAGGTTTTAAGAATGAATTACTTTTTTATCTTCTTGATGTAGCAGTACTTCTGCAGCGATGTTTATTGATAAATGTTAAAATTCTAAGACATATGAATGAAATTCTAGCACACTTGATTGCTAGTACGGGTCATTGTTATAAGAGGGAAAATGTAACACCTGTGTCCAGGTGTTATGTGTTGATAACTTTTCAGTATTTTCTTATTTTTCCTCCAAATCTAGGTTCCAAATTACAGAAATGCAGTCATTGTAGCTAAGTCTCCTGATGCTGCAAAAAGGTAAATAAGCCAGACACATAAAAATCCCTGCGGGTGCTTTCTGAAGGCAGAATGAGCAGTTTGGGCACCCAGGGTCTGCCACAGTGCCGCCTGTAAAGTCTCACTGGCTCGAGCTTCCCTCACGGCCTTGTCATACCCACCACCACAGCTGTATCCCCAGCCTCCAAACAGCACGGGTGCTTGTCTGAATTACTCCGTTTTCTTCTGGGAGAAAATGAAGTTCCTGCTTCAAGTTCTCAGGAGAAGGAAAACAGAAGGGCCATGAGCACTTTTCAGACAGTGGTTTTTAGGAGACCTTTTTAAACAAAGTTCTTTTCTTCTGAAGATGAGTGTCAGAATATTGGACAAAGGATAGCACCAAAATTATCTAGAATCAGATCAGATACTAGCCCACATCTCAACTCACGTGTTTCTTGAGGGATTTACATTCCGGCCTGGGTCCCACATTCTGATTTATGTACATAATCCCTTTGTATGTCCCCAAAAGGTTGAATGGTATTTTTAGTTTATGATTAATAAAGTGATGGAATAGTGACGCTTGGGCTTTCTTCTCATGAATTTCACGATTCCCCTTTGCCTTTCTCTTAGGGCCCAGTCGTATGCTGAGAGACTCCGCCTGGGCTTAGCCGTGATCCATGGAGAAGCTCAGTGTGCAGAGCTGGACATGGATGATGGTCGTCATTCTCCCCCAATGGTCAAAAATGCTACTGTCCACCCGGGCCTGGAGTTGCCGTGTAAGATTAGCTCTATGTTTTTATTTTATTTGCAAATTAAAGAAAGTTTTGAATAGTATGAATGGCTAGGAGTTACTGGGTTGCCGGAAAAGTCATAATGTATTTTTTCTATGTTTTCTGTTGCAAAAATGCGTCATGACTTTTCCGACAACCCAATAACATTTGTATGGCAGTATGCTGTCTTGGTATTTTAAAATAATTGAATGGTATTGCATTGATTTCCCCTTTTGGAAAAGGAGATCATGTTACACACATCCGCCGACGACAGCTGCACGTACTGGGTAGCACTTAGCTTTCAGAGAGTGGGAAATAATGAAAGAATTTTAGCTTTAGTAAAAATGTTATGTGTGATGTTGTGAAACCTTAAGCTTTTCTACTTTGGTGCAGTGGTGATAGAAACCTTTGATCAAATACCAGGCTTTTGGGTAACTTTTAGCATTTATGTTAGTAATATAGCCCTTGGACCTGATACCTGACAAACATATAATTAATTCAGCAGTATGGAGGCTATTTATTTCCATGGAGTTTTTGAGTGGCAGTAACCAGCATTCTGCTGGAAGATACATTATGTTTTTTAGAGGAAGGAGAATATTTGTTTTTAAAATATTTATCTATAATATTTGCCATGTCTCAGAAACATACAGACATTAACAGAGTGGAAAAATATTAGAATGGTTGGTTACACCTCTGACAGGGTGTTTCAGACAGGCTCCTACCTAACGTGTAAACATTCTAGTTGTTTATAATTATCAGACTCAGGAAACTAACGTTGTTATAATACTGTTGTCAGACCTTATTCAGATTTTGCCAGTTGTCCCACCAATGTCCTTTACAGCAAAAGAAAATAGTTTTTTTCTGGGCTAGGACCCAATATAAGACCACATGTTGCACTCAGTTGTCATTTATCTTTAGTCTCATTTAATCTGGAATTGCTCCTCTGTTCTTTGTCTCTTATGACCTTAATACTTTTGAAGAGTGCAGGCCAGTTATTTTGTGGACTATTCCTTAACTGGGGCTCGTTTGTTTCCTCATGATTAGGTTGAATCCGTTATTACTATGATTATTGTCAAATGTTGATTTTTCTAGTTCCCCTTCTTCCCTATTTTTTATTCATTTATATCAGTATGGATTCATAGAATCTTATCTTATTCAGTGTGTTACAATCCATTGCTACTATTTATTTTAATGCTCAAATTGTCACAGACTTGGCCAAAGAGAACTCCTTTAAATTGCCTCCTTTGTTCTTTTGACATGTTCCTATCATCTTTTGATACTTCCTTACTTTCTGGTACCAGATGTTCCATGTTCATCTTGTACTTTCTTAGCCCTGGAATCATCCCAATTGCTTTAGTGTAAAGGGGTATTTAGAAACCAACATTTGGGCTTCCGAGTGTACCGTCAGTCACTACATTTTACTACCTATGACTAACCTTGACTTATGTTCTTTCATAAGTGACTGAATGTGTTTATAGGATAAATGCCAAGAAATAAAATATTTTAATATGGTGAGGTTCTCTATTCTCAGAATGTTGCTTTGTTACTTATGATTATAACAGTGTTTTCTCCTCCCGGTCATCTTGTGTGTCATGGAAACTTGTAAAGCAATGGATTCTTTCATATACATGTTGGTGTGTTTATATTACAACTTTTACAGTTGCCATAGGGTCATTTTTATGATTCCCTTTTATAGATTTAGTCAAGAGAATCCTGAAAGAATGTTATTTCTTATACATGTAATTGTACCTTCCAAATTAAATAAGCTTTATATTTCTTTATCAGTTATGTTTCAACAGTTTATTTAATAGCAATGAAGATGAAGATATTAAAATGTTAGGACAAGGTCAAAGGAAAGCAAATATTCACCCTCGGGGTCTGTGCGTCTTTTAGAAAGTTGAACTGTTTTATCTCCCTGGAAGCCATTCTTTTGGAGCAGCAGTAGTTCTCAGCTGAGGCTGCTTTGCCCCCCAGAGGATTCTGGCAATGTCTGGAGACATTTCTGGCTGTCTCAACCAGCGGGGAGGTAGGGTGCTGCCGGCCGAGTGAGGAGAGGCCGAGACACTGCTGAGCATCCCTTCAGTGCAACAGGCACCCCGTCCAAAATGTCAGTGCTGAGGTGGGGAGACCCGATTTTAGGGTAATTTATTAAAAGTCAAGTTGTATGTTTCTGTTTCGTGAGATAGAATCCATACCTCTGATGGCAAGGGCTGCTAATGAACTTGAAAGGATTGTATGTCAGTGTTCCCTTCCCCTACACTCTGCTCTGTGTTTGCCACAGTGGTGAAAATTAAGAATTTGGTTCACAAAAATGAGAGGAAGTCACCTTTTCTGGCTTGACATTTCCTGGTTTGTTAATTTTATAAGTGAAGAGTATTTTTCACCACTAAAATGAAAAAGAGACATTAGCTCTCTTTGAGCATCTGTTAAATGTAAATTTTGATTTATTTGCATGTAGAGTTATGAGCTTGAAAATAATTTCAGTCTAGTTCTGCCCGAGACCTGATTTTATTTCTTATATCTCTTTTTAATTATAGTCTGTTGATAAAGTTTGCTATTCCGTTGAATTAGAAATAGACTTTACTCATCAAAATGAGTAAAGAATGAATAATTCTCTTTAGTCTTTTTTGCTCTTTATTTTAGGAGAGAAAAGTTAGGTTAATTAACTCCGGAGAAAGAGTTTTTAAAAAAGCGTGTGTGTGTGTGTGTGTGTGTGTGTGTGTGTGTGTGTGTGTGTGTGTGTAAAATCTAAAGATGGTTGTTAATGCAGCATTATTTTACTTGGAAAATGCTAACTTTAAAAACAAAAGACAATTTTCTATTTCATAAGAACATTGGAAATCATGTGATAAATTGACATTTTTACCACAGTAAGTTGATAGAATTTTAACATTGATTTCTGGCCACAAGTAATGTGCACAATTCGTTTGATTCTTAAACTGTTTGGGTTTTGTGAAAGTGGAGAAAAAGAGCAGAATCTTAAACATAGGGTAGTTTAAGCACCCTTTATCTTTGACCTTCAGTTACATACATTACTTTTGATGTTTTTTGGGGTTTGTTTTGTTTTGTTTTGTTTTTAAGATTTTTATTGGGGAATTGGGGGGATGGGAACAGTGCTGGGGAATTGGGGGAAGGGGAACAGACAAGTTGCTGTCGTTTTGTTCTTCAATCTAGTTGTGCAGGACGTTGCTTCACTGGCCCAAGTTGGCACCATCATTGCGCTCTTCCCAGGCGAGGCACATCAGTCGGCGGCTTCTGGACGGCTGCTCACTGCGGCTGCTGGCCGCTCACGCTGGCTGCTGGCTACACACGGTAGCCCATGGCAACCCACTGCCACAGGGGTTGCAGCCTACGCCGTTGCCGGCGACTCATGGCAGCCCAGCTCCAGGTTGAGCTGTTGTTCAGCATCTTAGCTGTGGAGGGCAGTGTCACTGGCCCTCATATGTGGGATCCGAACCGGGGCCCTCTGGCGTCCCAAGCCAGTTCTTAACCATCACGCCACCCGGCCGGCCCTTGATGTTTTATTTTGTGGGCAAGCTGTTGAAAAATCTTTGGCTTTTTTATTTTAGCCTGTCAGGTACTATTTTTTTCCCTTGACCCTATAATAAAGTCTGTTTCTGTTTTTTAGTAGCCACTAAATTATGTGTTCAGTTTTATCGAGATCCTAAAGCCAGTTTTAAGTAGGGTATGAGCATACCAGGAGAAACGCTTACTTTTTAAAAGCCTTTTTAAGCCTTGATCCGTCCTAGCTGTGCCTGTGTTTCTCATTGCAAATTGAGAGGGGAAAAAATTAGTTTTTTGGGAGAGGTAGGCTTAGAGAAAAGTAAAGAGAAGTACTGGGACATGTTTTCTGCCTCCAGCTACAGCTGGATTTCTACTGATCTTTGATGAGGGATACTGGTTGCGGTCTTTTTCTTTTTTTACAGAGAAAAATGGTCAACAAATGGGATTACATCTCTTTAAGAAGCGGGTAGATCAACACAACCACCTACCCACGTGGTTTAATTTAAAGACAGAATTTGAGGAAGCTTTTCCTAATGTTGGTGATTTATTTTTCTCCCCCTTAGGTGATATTTGTATACAGAGCCTTTTTGACTCCAAATTCAAGAAATGGCCCTTGTTTCTGGAATGGAAAAGCAGGAAATGTCTATTGAAATTTGTCAGTAAAATAGTGCTGACTTTTCAGCTCAGCTAATTTGCTGGTGTACAGAAAGGCACTCCTGTTCTCTGAGGTTTACAGTGTCTGTAGATAGGAACCAGCTAAAATGGATGGTTTGCTGATAATTACTAAACCATATAATTACCCTGAATTGTATTCTCTTCTCCCTCATCCACCACTAGTTTAATATTTCATAATCATAAAAAGTTTTCCAAAAATGTAGAATCCTTAGCCCATTCTTCTGAAGTGTTCTTTTTTTTCCCCCTAACTTCCTTTTGAGGGTGAATTCTCTTCCCTTCTCTATCCTGTAGTTTGTTTTGTGTACTGATGGACCTTTTCCAGATATAAATTTTGTAGTGAGATAAGAAGCCTCTTCAGGACTAATTAAATCAGGAAAGGATAATGGACTCATAGTTATTGTTTTCAAGTTCCTTATTTTCAGGAAACTCTGATTATGTCAATGGTGTAGTTATCTGATAATAAGATTACATTGTCCAAATAAGGTTACTTTGGAAGAAAACAAAATGCCAGCTCTTTATCTGGCAGCCTCTCCCTGTTTGATTTTCTACAGACTGGCATCCTTTTTGCATTTGCTTATCAACCTCAGAGTTGGATGTTTCTATTCTGGGCGACACTGCTGTTGCCTCTCTGTGTAGGGAGATCTGCCTCTCTGTGTAGGGAGATCTCCCTCACTTGCTACTCCATCTTCAGACCTCTATCTAAAGACTAGTGGCTGGTAGTCACATGGCCATTACACTCTTGAAACATGGCTGGTCTCAGCTGAGAAGTGCTGTGTGTGTAATATGCATGCACACCAAATATCGAAGACCTCGAATGAAAAAAAATGTAAAACATTTCTAATCAATTTGCATATTGCTTACATAATGACATGGTAACATTTTGGATATATTGGGTAAAATAAAATCTATTCATTTCACCTATGTGTTTTTACTTTTTAATGTGGCTACTAGAAAATGTAAACTTATATTTGTCCCTCCTCTGTTTCTGTTGGGCAGTGCTGCTCTAGACAGTCTTCCTGACAGAGCCCGGGGTCATTGTGGAGGAATCTGCTGCTGCTGCTTTTTTTGGGGGGTGGGGAGTGGTCTGCAGGGAATGAGGTTGTGATCACATTTACTTAGTGATGCATGACTGACAGACTGGTGTCTTGTCGTTTGTTTTGTTTTGCTAGTGATGATGGCCAAAGAGAAACCACCAATAACTGTAGTCGGAGATGTTGGAGGGAGCATCGCAATCATAGTGGTATGGTCACGTGTCTTCCTTCATGTGCAGAAATGACACACTAGCTCTTAGTAGGTTATGCACCTGTGGATTGTTTTTCCAGTAACGATGATAGATTTAAATGGATCCATCTATCCTTTCTCACCCAGACTCCCTTAGGACAAGCAGGAATTTTTATATAGATGAACAGGGATTATTATAACCTACAGGTGTAAAGAAGAGTACAGTAACTCCTGTAAGAAAATTCAACCCCATAAGTAACCTTTGTCTTAAGGGGTGTGAGTTCCATCCAACCAGCCGACCACCTTGACCATGACCTTTAGGGCCATGAGATGAACTAAAGATGAGCTGTTCCGTTTTTACTGATGAGATCAAATGTCTCATTCTTTGTGCTTTAACATGATGTGTTTGCTCCCAGCTCTAAATGCCTTTGCTGGGCCACAGGATTGTGCTTCATAATGACTTACTTCATTTCTTTGTTCCTCTCATTTAACTTTCTCCTGGAAAAAAGTAAATGGGACACTGGCTATGCAGGATTAATCTGAAACCTGAAACAGGGAGATGAGTCGTGCTAGTCCTAAACTCTAGCTGTAAATATCACATAGGACTGTGAGGCTTGGCTGTTTGCACTGACAGCCACGCACAGCACAGTCCGTGCGCTTCTGTTGCCATTGCTGGGTGTCCGACCTTTGACCCAGGCCGATAGCTCTGATTGTCCATTTGCCATCCTCTGAAACAGGTGCAGAGAAGAGCAGAGAGGTGTGTGGAGGATAGCTCCTTAACCCTCACTCTGGTCTCTTCTCAGGATGACATTATTGATGACGTGGAAAGTTTTGTTGCCGCTGCTGAGATCCTGAAAGAGAGAGGCGCTTACAAGATCTATGTCATGGCCACTCATGGCATCCTATCTGCAGAGGCCCCCCGCCTGATTGAGGAGTCTTCCATTGATGAGGTCGGTCTGCTTAGCACACTTAGCTTGAGTCCAGACTGCAGCTCTCTTCTCTGGGAATAGTAAAGTGACTCAGCCCCCTAGAGGACCTGCGAAAGATGCTTTGGATAGCTAGCCATTTGTTGGGGCAGATATATATTTAGGAATATATGTCTGCTTTCATGAAGATTTGCTTTATGTGTTTCAGTATATTTTGCATTTCAATATCATTTGATACTAAAGTAGCATTTCTCTCAAGACTTGAGTTCTCCCCTGACAATATGAAGGTTTTATGCAGTGTGGGGTGCACCCTCTCATTTCTGCACACAAAGCCTAGAACATTCATAATCTTACATTTTGAACCATGAAACCTTTTCCTTGTGTAAAGTTGGTTTAGTTTTTAAAAACTGTACTCAGGAGAATAAGGCTGTATAGGTTGGAACTTGGACTGTAGGTATTAAATATTGGATGAACTTTTCTGAGTGACCACATTGGGGCACACATCAGTAACAGTATTTATTTTCCATTGCTGCCGTGACTAGGTGGTGGTGACGAATACTGTCCCTCACGAGGTGCAGAAGCTGCAGTGTCCCAAGATAAAGACTGTGGATATCAGTCTGATTCTTTCTGAAGCAATTCGGAGAATCCACAATGGAGAATCCATGGCGTACCTTTTCCGAAACATCACTGTGGATGACTAGCTTTCATGGTTGCCTTGACCTTGGAACTCCTAAGGAAAACATGTAAAAAGCAGTGCCATCAATTATGTACACAGTGTTTCCTTTCCAGGGAGTCAGATAGTCTCTTGCCAAGTCTGGCAGGTAGGAGGCATTAAGATAGTCAAGAGGGAGACAAAGCTAATCCATAAATGGCCTTAAATGTCTGCCCTCACCATCTGTTCCTTAAACAAGTTACAGACACTTTCCTGAAAAGAATCTGAAAATCGTTTGATACTAAAAAGGAGTTAAAGGCAGATAAAGTTTTAACTCTACATACAATGTTCATTCAGTTTCAGCTGCAGGTAAATGTGTGTGTGAATGTTGAACTTGGTTAGGGAAGCTGAGTGCCCTGGCACTGTATCCATTCCAGTTGTCCTCTCCTTAGTCAGCTTCATGTAAATCTTTTCTAAAGAACCATATTTTTCTCTGAGAAACTGCTGTGCCTATCACCACTGAACGATGAAGCATTTATAGCGTTGCTCCCTAGCAAGGAAGCCAGACTAGAGAATAACACGCTCCCCCCAGGTGTCTGCGATGCTCTTAAAGTACAAATAAAAGAATTTGTCGTCTTGCTCGTCTCTTTACTCCATTGCAGAGCTGCCAACACTCCTGCTTCATGGTGACAAAATTCTGTCCAGACTCTGCAGAAGACAAGGGATATACATTGGGTGGTTTAGGTCCATGACTGGTCCCAAACCTTGGACCTGAGTCTCATTCTGCAGGTTCTATCCCCTTTCTAGGCATTGAAGTTAAATCCTTGTTGAATGATATAGTTAAGATCTAAATTTATTAAAAAAAAAAAAAAGGAGAGAACTAATTCTACTTTTTCCTGTGTTATAGGTGACACTTAGGTTTATTGCATTCCTTAAGAATGCACTTGGCCTCTCTATCCAACATTTAAAATTACATAATCACAATTCTAATGTATCTCCCCATTTTTCAGGTAAGCCTTGCTGCAAATATGGTATAAACTTTTTATATCTTTTAGTCGGTCCAGGTCAGGCCTGAATGTAACAGGAAGGAGCGTGTGCTAGGAAATGAACTGGAATTGCTCATTGGTTCTGTTAGTTCCTGAGAGGTAATAAAGGACAGTTTGATTATTTGTACAATTGTACTTCTCTGCAGGGAAGTTTCCTTGACATTTTTATTCCTTTCCTAATGACTAGAAAAGTCCCGAACACAAAATCGAAACTTCGAGCACATTAGCTTTTCAAGCATACAAATGAGTTGCCTCCTGTTAATAGTCCAAGTAGGGGAATTTTGAGTAAAGAACTTAATTATAAAATGATTAGCATGGGGGAGAGGAAGTAGACTGTTCTCAGGAGCCCTGGTTCTTGTCCCTTAGGTCAGGCAGATGACTAGTCCCTTCTGGGCCTCTGTCATCAGTAGTAAAAAGGGAGGTTTGCAATTGAAAGGTAAGGTCCTTTCAACTCCAAAATTCCATTTATACCTGCAGTTAATGTTTTCCCTGTGTCTCTAGGAGTAGAGATTTTTAAATGTCCTTAAGTAACAAAAGCATTTAGTAGAATGTATTTCCTGGGATTAGGACTAGAATATATTCAAATATGCCCTTTCCACTGGCATCATATGTGCCTGGCATGATACCAAGCTTCAGGGATATGAAAGTGAAAACAGGAGGACTCAGGGAACTGACATTCTGGCCATAGCCAGTGTAGCAGCAGTCACACTCGTCTGGAAAGTCACTGAACTTGGAATTGAGGAAGCCCACGCACCGAACGGCTGATGCTCGATCCCAAAGCTTTGACTTTGACCTGGCTTTAAGTTGTGTAAGGTAAGAGCATGAGTGCGCAAAAGAGTACAAAGAATTTGTTCCTTTGAAGGTATCAAACGCTTGAAGGCCTGCTGTGTGCCAGACACTGGGAATATAATGGTAAACAAAATCCTGTTACCCTCATGGAGGCTATAGACTTGTGTTTAACTTCATTCCCAGGGAACACTGCCTTTTGGGGGGGGTGGGGGGTGGAGGATGGTGGGAGGACAAACATAACCGGTTGCAATTAAATTTTACCTGCTCAGACTAATCTAAAAATTTGAATTTGAAAGTAGTTAAAATAGGAGTAAGTATAGATGTAATCACAGGTTTTTCGCTTTCCTGAATAGAAACACGAGCTTTCCTGAATATTTTATATGTTTTCAGGAAGAATCTGGTATGGGGAAACCAAGACTCAATTGCTGAGAGCACCAAATTCGTGTAGTCCCATCTACTGCCTTGTAATGAGCTGAAATGCTGTTGAGTTTCTTTTGAGATAAATTAGGCCAGGCCAGCACAGGAAAGGTCTATCTACTGGTGACAAATTGGCGCCCCCTGGGTGGTGAGTGGTCTTAAGTTACCCTTCCTTTGGATTGCGTGAATGATACAGTAACAGTCCCCAAGGGGCCATCACTTAGATTTGTGCCCGTGTCCTGTATAATGGACAGTGAAGGACACAAAGCACAGTTACCATGATGCCCCTAAGTCTCTGCATTCTTAGTGGGCTTCAAAGGTGAGTGAGTCGGCCTTTCTAGGTTAAGGGGCAGCTGGAATCTGTGGACCTTAGGAGGCCTCCCCTCTCCCGAAACTAATGTGTTGGTTCTCTGAAAAAAATGCCTTGGCACTGTCCCATGCCGCCTGTCCTTGGTAACGTTTACTGAGGATAAAAATCAGTGGCGCCCTGGGGTGTGGCCCAGGCTTTAGACCCCTTTGGGAAAGACTCCCTAGTGAGTTTGGGGTGGCTTGAGTTTGGGCAGGTTCCGCAAGGCCAGCACCTTTCTGCCTCCTCACTGGCACTGGTCTCTCTGCTGGCGCGTTCTTCCGCGGAATTCTCAGGGGGTGGGGATG